GGTGTCGTGAAGAGACAATTAGCTTCTTTTTGCACTCCATTTTGTTCCATACTTTTTGTCTATGGCTCCACTCAGTGCTGTGCTGCAGCGGACCGTGGCGAATGCGACGGCAGCAGCGACCACAATGACGTGATGACGACAATTCACCGATCAACAGCACCGGCCTAGTGGCACGATGCCGTGTACAGAAAAGTCGTGGAGTTCGGTACCAGCCAGTCAGGTGGCCGCAAATACCCGGAAGAGAAGATTGCATCGATATTGCCAGCCGCCTGCTCTAGATATTCAGTGTATACAGTATTGTTTACATAGGAGTGTAGTGGAAGCAAATACATTAGAGACTGGCAACCAACGCCTTCCGGTACCGGCGCTCGTTCGAATCGAAGCTCTACTTGGTTCCGGCAAAAATCATCGAACAGCCTTGACTATCAGCCCCATGAACCAGCGACGGCAACTGATGCCTATTCGCTGAATCGAATCAAGTATTATGGATCCTGATATATATTAACGCTGTTCTATCGTTTACCTCCTTGATAGTATTGCATCTCATCTATCTCGATACACGGATTCCTGAGAATAAACAATCTATTCTGAATCTATTGTTTGCGCGTAGTCTGCCAGCGGATACCAAAGTTTAGCCGGACTAAGATAATTTCAAAATCTAATATTATTCGATAGATTAAAGAGACAGAAAGACTATGCGGAGTTGATAACTGTCATTGATTTCTCTTGCTTTTATTGGTCGTTCCCTGAAATACAGTCACCTGTGTGATAGGACTCTGTTCGACTCATCTTCAATCAATACGCTTTGAATCGGCGAGGCGCATAGGTACCTACTATTGTTGTGTGCATTTAGGCTTGGTAGAGTCTGCACCGGCCCTGGTAATCCGCAAACAACGTGCGATGTTTTTTGTGGCATCTATAGAAAGACGATTGCAACATCCATTGCGCTGTTTTTTCTGCTAATAAAAAAATGACAATAATAATAGGCTTACCTTAGGGGATTTGTGTGATGACAAAGGTGCGGTGTCCTGTTAGAGCTGACAGAGAAAAACATCTGTTTATGTATCCTCAGATAGCCAGAAGTGGAGCAAAACTCATCGTACTTTCATGGGTCTTTGGCTGGTTGGCGCTTCTTGTTAATACGATCGGCGATCGTCGGCTTAATAGATTATTCAGTGGAAGTTGAGTGATAACAGCCAATCGATCACATAACACACAGATTTTTACATAGCTATCTTCCATTTGGTTTGAAGCAGGTCTCCGTGTGTTGCAATCGGTCCATAATCTTACCGATATTTCGTATAGTTTCGTTTGGTAGTAACTTTTTTTACTCCTTTTGAAACCTACTGATGAGATTTTGTTGGCATATGTTGGTTCCGCTAACGGCCTTGCGAAACAGCGATGGCAAACGGTATCAGTGCTAGGACACGGCTATTGTGAGACGAATAACCCGTTTAGTAAGAAAGAAGCTTTTAAAAGGAAATTGCCGTAAAGTTCAGTCTGTTATTTTTGAAAGTTACCAAGCAAATATTTCTTCTGTATTATACAACAGACATAAAGCAAACAACCCTCAGAGAAGCCCAATCAAAATCTGATTTCATGTATATGTTCTTGTTATTATCTGAGGAAATCGATTAAGCATACGACAAATGTTTGCGACAACACCGATTCGCGTTACCTCAATTGTGAGTGACCTCAAAGTGACTTGTAGAATGGAACGGACATATGGCGACACAACATAGACTCGACGTTATTGTTTAGATCTCCACTTCCTTTAATAGGTCCGGGTGGCCTACCAAGCGTGAACCTTATGCCTTTTGTGTCTCTGCTATGATCACTCCGGACTCCCGCCGCTGGAGCATCGGTATAACATTGTGATGCTTCTTCAGACTACTACCAACTTTTTTGGCCGCTCTCGGCTGCCCTTTTGACTGCGCGTTGTTTGAATATTGTTTCATGCGTTAACTGAGAGAAAAAGCGAAACCCCAGGAGTCAAACATGGAAAGCGACATTTACAGAATGTTATGTGCGAAGAACAAACGCTTATCCGGCGGACACTATTTGTCAACACCGACCGTTAAACTCCGACACCAGCGGGTCTCGGTCGTGACGTTCGGCTGATACTAGCTAAATCTTCGCCTGCTGCCGGGGGTCCTCGCAACGTGACTGTGCATTAGCGTGAACCGTCATGGAACTGGGAGAATAGGAGATATAGAAAATGACACAGAGAGCTCAAAACACGTAAACTATAAGATGCATATATCCAGGAGGAGAAGAGTAAGGACAGGGCAAGGACGCGTACACATAAGCCCGTTACCTATGTAGCGGTGTATACTAGTTTTCTACGCGTTCACTGTATGACAAAGCGTATGGGTTGCATGATTACACGCCTTTGTATAAAACGATCTGGCAAAATGCACCTGAGGTATTTATCAGCTGTGTTGATAAGCTACGGTTATCTTCGAATAAGCAGATTTATTTGCTAAATGAGATACCGTATATTGTAGTGCAGCGTCTCGTCGCTGTGGTGGATCATTCCAAATATAGACATTGTTCTAGGCAGAAAAGCGTTTAGCAGGATGACCCGTACCTGGCTTGTCCTATAAAACTAGTTATATCTTTGTTTTATGGCCTTTCTGTCGTATACAATATGGGCATCACCGAACGGTCGTGCCTGCGATCTAACGCAAAGTGGGAGATCTGATGCCATACCATGCATTGAGCGCGTTTCTCTTCTTAATACTGCTACGTAAGCAATCTCGCATCTTCTGCCCCCGACAAAAATTGCCTAGAAATTCAGAAAGTCTTTGTCTAAGAGTGTCTGACCGTCTGAACATTTCATGAATGCCAATTCCGTAGTCGCGTTAGCATAGTTTTCTTGCGCTTGTCAAAACCTTGTCCATTTCCATTGCGTTTTCTCTAGCTTTGGAAGGCGAATTTCGAGTTTCCACCTCGACTTTGTTCCTCGCTGCTACTGTTGCGCTTCGTCATTGTGCTGCATCTGTAGTTGATGCTCTATATTTCAGACGCTTTGCTTAAGGCAAAAAAGAGATACGAAAAGCGAGCGCTTTCTCGTCGGCTTGAAACTGCAGCAGTTCTGTAGTACAAGTCTCGTCTTGGTCTACCGCGCCTCGACGCAGTGACACCAACGGCGATAGTATCTAGGCCTTCGGCTTTCGAAGGGACAGAGACGATGCCTCGTGCAGAAAGCTCACTGGTCAAAGGGAAAGCCTTCAGTGCAACCTGCGTTTGAAGCTGTAGTCCAACCGATTTGTTCTTGTCGGGGGACTATGCCATATTTAAACAATAGAATACATATATTAATGGCCACTGTAAACGCCCGTGAACGCTACGCTACAAAGGAGGCTCGTGCCACGCCTCATAACAGTAGCTGTAAGAGAGTTCAGAGAATAAACCTGACAGATCGTGGTGGCCAATACCAGTAAAAGTGTAGCTCAGAAGCAAATAAAAGGCTAGGGGCCGCGGGGGCTCAAAATAAGTCGACGTATTGCCTCCCATATGGGCCCCACTTTCTGCGCTTGCGTCAGCGAGGAACTTCTAACGGGGCCTGCTGCCGATAATTTTCTACAGATTAAGTTCAATTGAGTGCTGTGAATTGATCCATATGAAACGATTGTTTCCATATATTTTCGACTGAGTGTTCTCCACTAGTCGAGTTTGCCTAGTATCATTGATGAATACGGACACTAAGAGTTAGACATTCTCCCAAGCGTAGAATGGATATAACGTACAAAAGATCTTTGTATTACACTAATATCAAAGTACCTTCATATAAAAGTTGTTTCAAGCTTTATGTGAAATTTTATAGGAAACCTAAGATCGCACTGAATGGGACGGATCCAGCTCACGTTATACGCACCCACACACACACACACACACACGCACACATATATGATTTATTGCCTCCTTAATCACACAGTTCTGGTCAATTTTGTGGATTCTATTGATGCTTATGTATGTTACTATAGTACGATTGTTTGATGTAGATGTGTATATTCTGCGTAATTTCCAACACTCAATGATCTATTTTGCATAGGTATTATGAACTCGATTGGCCGCCTTTTCCTGTAACGGCATGCCAGGGCCATATGATCGGGACTTTGATGCTGTCTTCCCTATGTTGTTATTTTGACATGGTATCTGTATGCACGCTTCAATGAACATATATACGCATTCTAAACAATCGAACGTTCCCTAAGGCCCGATCGAGTTTTACACCACTTTAATCTGAACTGAATCGCCCTACTAACCTACATTGGGGCAGTAACCGAATGCGTGACTCAACGTCACATTGAGCCTATCTATTTTTACACTACGCTGGCAAGCGGTGACAGAATACAGTTCAATTCTGCCTTAGAGGCGCACGCCTCTCCGTTGCACCCGTAATTGGTGAAACTATGACCCATCTATAGTATAAACTAAAGCAGAAAAGGTTCTTTTCGGGAGGGTTAAAGTGATATCGTACAATATTTCCCTTTAATCTACAACTGTTTAAAGTGTTGCCTAACAACTTATGTACAGTTCGTAAAACATTTTCGGTCTACTGCTTAACGCGGAGGGTCGGTGGACCCTCCGCGTTAAGCAGTGGCTCTGATCCGTATCGTGGTATAAAGGCACAAGAGAAGTCAAACTGATTAACCCCTATTAATTTGCTTTAATAGGCACGAAATCAATTAATAGGTCTAACTTGATAGCTAAGCAAGCCGTCTAAGTTAGTTCGCCCAGCCTGGTAACTGTCTCCTTCACCGTAATCCGTGAAAGGAAACCTACAATTGACGCAAGTTGACTTTTAGTCACAATAACTTTAACATTCATGTGTGTTCATTGTATAGGACCGTATCTATATATACTAACAGTCTATCCTAAGAGAGTGTTCTGCTTATCTACTTATCTAACATATGTGTTGTCGTTTGTGCTGTCCATCTTTCCATTCAGTGAGATCAGCTTTTGAAACATGCGTGTCGTTTGTTTGATTCCAGTCGACGGCTATCTCGATCCAGGTACAACGAGCTCGATCCGATTCTCGTGCGGGTAAATTTATTATGCACAACTCTGGATGCCCTCTAATTGTAAGCTACACTCTGGTTTTCATAAAAACCATCAGTAATTGCTAGCAGACTAAATAACGAAGCAATAATTTCTAAAGAGCTAGATTTGTTCTCTCGTGTGGCTTCGTCCATCTCCCAATTTACTATGAGTGCAGGTATAGGAATGGGCCCATAGCGCTCGCTGTTGCCGCCGCTATCCAGGCGCGGCGCTATCCAGGAAGAAAAGAACGGCCATATATGGCATGATAATTCTGTTCGTGGCAGTTTAACATCGTCCGTTCTTCACTCGTAGAGACCACCCGGGCTTAGAAGGACTTCGTCGACTGGTCGAATCGCATCTTTCATTGACAGCCTTCTGTCGTTTTGCCTCTGCCTGGGTGCTTGGAGCGGTGAGTCATTTGCACCAGAAATATATAAGTCGATGCCGCAGTCTAATTTTTGCAATAGCCTCTCCATGAATTTCTTCTGGTTCAGCTTATTTTCAGTTTGTGTTATTGTTTACAAGGCATAAACTATATGGCGTGTTACTGTGTGAAACAAGCAGTTTGGTACGAACCGAATTGAATTCATTCTAAGCGTTACTTAACTCGAATTGTAAATACTTCAGTCGTGTATTATCAAAACTAATTTGGCTACAATCCAAAAATAGTATAGCAGAAGTTGTAAAGTAAATGTCTCAGAACTATAGATCCTTCAGGCGGTATATTAAGGATCATGCCACACGTGTACATCTATAGATTATAACTCCGTATTGAAAATACAGCCTTAATAGCCCTCTTCTTTTACCGTCATTGTTCAATACACTCATTACGGTAAAGCATTTTGCCCCAGAGAGAGTTGCTTACAACGTCCCAGCCACAGCGGAAAGAATACACCCATAATAAGTTTCTTATTGTTAAGAAATCAGTATCAGATTTGGAGCAAACGTGATCAACTGTTACTTCTGCAGCAATGAGTGCCTCACTCCGACACTCACACCACTGCTTCCTTCTTACTTGCTTTGAGCTTAGTTGCTAGGAAGATATTGTTTTGATCGCTCTTACCCTCTTGTCCTGAAAAGATGTTCGTCTTTTTCAAGCACTTGTCGCACAAGGGCTAACGTTTGTGTGGTAGCCTGCCACAAACTGAAAGCCAGACGACCTGTCGTCGCCTGCAGGTCTTCTAAGCTTTTCCTTACCTTTTATATCCACTCTTGCCCTACGCTCAAATCATTTCGCCCTGATCGTACCCTGGAAGGAACGCGCAACGCGACCCGGGTGCGGAAAAGACGAGCTAAGAAAGGGCTACTGAATAGATCTTTGGCTAATTGTCCGTCATCGCAATAACGTGCTACTTCTAATACGATGACTACAGCACGTTGAACCTCCCTCTTATGTTCTCTGTAGTTCCGGTAGAGAGGCGTGAGATAGAGCGAGCCTAGGGCTAAAGTGCTTGTAAGGTCCTATTGATAACTGTGTAGTAAAAGATTGGCATGGCTAGATTAAGTGAGGGCATACTTGCCTACGGTTTGTTAAAAAGTACTGGCACTTAGCCTGCTCAAATGAAAAAGAGTCCTTTTCTGCCTGGTGGTATAGCAATCGATAGTGACGATGGCGACAAAGGCATGAGCAGCTTTGACGTAGTGCTTCTTTCTCATCTCATAGAAGACCTTATTCTATTCCATGGAATCGTTCGGACGACTCAAAAAGAGTGTAGTATACTATGCGCCGATTGTTGCCTGAGCAGAATGGCTTAAAGAGTTTGGTTTGAGCCAATTATTTGATACAGATGCTTCGCCACCGCCTGAGGAAATCACTAGTTAGACGTTGTTGTCCAAACAAACCTCAATGACTGGAGCGGATCAGACTTAAATGTCTGTTGCTTATCATGTGTGTAGATACATACTTAAAAAGCGGCAATCCGTCTTGTTTGAGTCGGACATAATTAGCTGGCGTTTTAGGTCGTAACTGTCTAATCTAAACGATACGTTCTGTACAGTTGTCTTTGTGTAGTGATCCTACAAGTTCAAGTAAGTGAAAGCTGTTAAATAAGAAAGAAAAATTAAAAAAAAAGCCTTTGTGCTTCGACCAGTACTTTGTATTAAAGTAGATTCACGAACAACTTAATTTGAAGATTTCCGAGTCCTCATTTTTAACTTGTCGCTTTCCTTTCCAATGTCGTTAGAGTTGTCATTGATTGTAGTAAATATAATAATAGGGTTATTATGGAAGCTCTCTAAGCTTCCTGGGTTTGACTGATTTTTTCCTCGCGTTGTCCTGGCTTTAAAGCTGTGCGTGATTTCTATATCTGAAAAAACGCGACGGAATTACTCGTATTTTTATAGAACACAGAGAAATATGTAGAAGGATTTTGCTGAATTTACAGAAATGCGGACCATCTTTAATTTTTTTTAGGCCAAATAAGGCGACACCTTATCTTCTGTTGAATTAATTGATGTCTCACGTAAAAGATCAGATATAAGCATTTTTTTTTTAAGCATAACTTCGAGGTAAAAGGTCATCGAGTGTGTGATATATATATATATATATATATATATATGTTTACATATGCATACAGGATGCCAGCATTCTGTCACGGCTCCATACTTCTCATGAGTATTACTGCAATACGTCCTTGCTCATCGCAGGCCGACCAATGCGAGTCATGAACTGAACGAAAGATAACTATATTGGTAAACAATAAGTAAGTAAAGCTAGAACATGAAATCTAGCAGTCGATTATAGATAAGTTGTAGTTACTTTTAATAGTAATTGCGGAGAACTGTCACCTTTATACATATTGCTGGTTATTGTGTATATATTGTTGTATGTACTTGCGTAAGTTGTTGTATTATATTATCGTTGCGGGCTACTAGCGTTTATTGTTTCCGCAATACGTTTGTTGTTAGCACTGCTATTATAATTATTTTGCTATCATTCTCTACGTTCCCCTTTAACTCATTTCTGCTCTTTCATTTTCTGGTTTCTTACCATGTCTCTTTATTTACCGTCAACATCCATATTAATATCCGTATCCTGTGTGGCGCGCATTCCCCTTCAGCGACCACACATCGTACGTTATTCGTCGAGGATTGCGCACAGTGCGGTAGTGTCTGACCGGGCCGAGCTAGGTTGGAACCGGCCGTGCACACGTCCACACATGTACGCACGATATACATTCGGATGCACATTTGACTGTATTGTATGTATGGTTCCGACCGTGTGCTTGTGTCAACCTATATCTGTTCGCTGTGTGTCATGTTGTTGTTGCTGTTGTATTACTGATGATGGCGGTGCATCTCTGGTCGATTATTAGTTTGTATAAATCTTAAGGCTGCAACTGATTATGGTCGGCACAGGTGAACACGCAGACGTAAGCACCGGCCGCACAATTTGAAAACGACGACACCAAAAACAGCATCAACAACAGCAGGCGAGTCGTCGCCAAACAGATGGGCGTGTCGTATACCCCACTGCAAACGGGAGGTGCGAGGCATAAGCGAAAGAAAGGAGAAAATAAACAACAAACAAGAATAGAAGCGGGCCGGGAATTATGAAGTGACGCTTCAGTACGAGTTACTATTCCAGTAGGCAATGTTAGCTTAAGGGGCTACCTCTACTGTAGTAAGTTGACTAGCAATGAGGAAATGTATTATTTAAATGTTCTATCCGGTTGCTGTGTCTAGTATTCGGTTAAATTTGGGGACGGGCTGACGTCCGCGATGGATGCAGTATTGGCAATTAGAGAGGAACTGTGCGAATCTTGTGCGCTGACGAGTGAGCTACGGCCGAATGAGGGATAATTCTGACCAAGTCAGAAGACAATCCTTTAGTATATAAACCCGATAATAGGTAGACGGTTTTCTTTCGTGTGCATAACTATACACCTAGACGTGAAATGGTAGTCGTTCAGCTTTTCTAGTACGAATGCAAACATACCAGTCATTTAGCTCGAGCTATATTTATGCCTAAGTCGTGCTTTTTCCTTCTTACGCCTGATGGAAGCATGGAAGTATATATAATATATATGCCACAGATGAAACTGTAAATGTTGCATCAAAAAAAAGCTTTAGGCAATTTGTGTCCAAACTTTACCGGTTTAATTAAAGGATGTTTTGAGAGACCTTGGAGATCAGAAAGATATCCGTCATAGCATTTTGTAATAAGGAAAAAAAGTTGTACCATTTCGATTATCCTCACTGCCGCTACCCTTAGCAATTTTTAAGAGTAATTGCTACGGAGCCTTTACAAGGCCCTTCTTCGCCGTGACTTTATTCCTGCAACGATGTAACACAAACCTGTAAACAATGCAACACAAACCAAGCAGCGAACTCCAACGTTACAGTCAATGAGCTTCGTCACTATGCACTGCGTACTACGCTTTTAATGTCTGAGATGTGGGATACTGAGCTGATATGATGTTTCGATCGGCTCAGCTCCCAGGAAAATGTCCTTTCCCTACAGGAAAAGATACAGTGTTTTGCTCTTCCGTTCATCAAAACATCATTACTTGTATTACCCTAGTGATCTTAGGATTATGGGAGCGATTGGTGGCGTTTGTGATGGATGAGTTTATGTAACTAGCCCTTGACATATTTGTTAAAAACTGTGTATAGAATCGCTTGTATCTAATGCAGATCTTCCTCTCAGAATTAGCTTATAGGGACGGACCCTTTTAATAGGCTACTCAACTTATAATTTTTTTCTCGTGGCTAAAATGGACTCTAATTGGCTAGAGATGAGAAGTGATTTTGACCCGGGGTTAGTTTGACCAGGGAAAAGCCAAAGAGGCAGCAACTGCAAAACGTATGGCCTGTTGCGGAAGGCCGTTAAGGGACAGAAGCCTCTTGTCAGACATTAGCGATGTGCTAGTAATGGGCGTCGAACATCTTATGAAGACGAAACCAATTCCGTCGCATAAGCGGGAGAAGCTGAGGGAATCTCTCGAAACTCCAGCGGGATTCGGAATGAAGCGTGCAGTTTTCCAGCCGGCGACTGGCCAGCCGGTTACCGTACACGCGTGTAAGGCTACGCAATGAAGCTACCAGGAACTTCCCTAACGCCTGCTTCTACTAGATAGAGTATAAGAGCATCATCGCCCTCACGCCATACACAGGAAGAACTAAATTACTGGAGACAAGCGATAGCGGCAGGTGGCGTTCCGCCCTTATGTCCATTGGAAAGTAACGTAAAACGCAAGTAGATGTGACAAAAAAAAACCCGCAGTTGAGTGGGAGTAAACTCCATATTGTATTAGTTCAGCTATTTATTTGCTTACATTTCTATGGAAAAGAACGAGACTAAAGCAAATAAAATCGACAAGGTCGAGCGAGACAAAAGGTGCAACTGTTTAGGAGTTCAGGTATGAGGGTTTTCGACAATAAGTTTTGAAAGGGCTTATAGTTGTGTTTGAAATTGTCGTAAAGTAGTACTTCAGCATAGAAGTGGATTTGACTTTTCTCAACGTCTGCTGTCATGATGGAAGTTTGTAAAAAACAGTAGAAATGCCTTCGTTATTGGATAGGTTATTGTACATACGTCATTCAGAGGCCCATGGGACTAAGTGTCGATATTTGGCTAGAAGCAGTCGTAACTGATCGCTAAAGATAATCGCTCGTGAAGAGACATATGTAACGTTCGTCAGTTCTGAGCGTAATCGATCGCCTTCAAGTACACAAAAAGATGTATGACGAAAACGCGACATAGAGAGGAATATGTTTTTCCGTTAGGCTTGGAACTAACTTAGTAAAATGAACGTTTATGGTGTATATAATGCAGTTATCATGTTTACATAGTCCTAACCTATCACTGAGCAAGTTTTACTATAAGTGACAGAGGTATATCTTCCGGGAACGTACGAAGTTAGCGCTAACAAATTCCGTTTCCGTTCATATTTCGTGTAAAAGCCATTATTTTTTGTCGTAATTAACAAATTTTACCATACTAATACTGTTATTATTAACCGGTTCACATAAATGACGCCGACGCCAGCTTTTTGGAGGTGTGTTCGGTTCTGAACAGGACGAACGTATATTATCTGCTGTCTGGATGGAACTTTAATCCTCTTTAAGTTTAAAGAGCTGAAAGAGAGATGTACGCTATGCAGGGACGAAAGAAGATATAAAACGTTCGGCATACTTATCACGCTATTGACTTCGCCCCCATATTAGTATCTGTTCGGCATTGTTTCGCGTAAAGCTTAATAACTTAGAGTAACTGGCACGTACACTGCAGAGTTTATCCACTTCGCCTAGCTGAGAAGGGTAGAGTCCTCCCTATCTGTGGACGGGCAACGAAGACATCACATTATACATTCCATAAATTGCAATTTATCGTCTGCTTAATTTTAGTTACGCTCAAGTAATATGTTTATTAGACAAACCGCTGTAGCACGTATTTTGAACATCGTTTGTAAACATCTATTACATACATCTATGACGGTACATTAGAGGCGTCTAAATAAATATATTATATCCAAAGGAAAACCCTGAGCAACATGACTTTACCTGATTGTTTAACTTTTTTTTCCGGTAACATCAAGGGCACACTCGATCTAATTTCCGACTGGGTTTAGTACAAAGAAAATGTACGACGTAGATACTATAGATGCCATAGGCACTTTCACATGCTAGTGCTGAATGCAAAAAAAAAAGGTGAAATAAAATCCGTTGCGATTTCCTATGTGTAACTCGTCTGGGCGAAACCTCCTTCTTCTGTAATACAGACTCTCGGTAACCGTAGAAACCTAAACGTTTATCGTTCAATATTTGCAGATACATCTGCCGAACAGGAAGCGACCCTTATGATTGACTGCAGTCAGAAACTAGAAGTTCCTGTGGATCTGCACAGATATCTTCGACGATTCCAATCAGTTGTTAATACCGAACTGCGAGCGAGCTTGAAACTAGATGGGAGCTTCGTGTTCAGAGATCATCGTCACAGAAACTCTGAATCACTTTTGAGGCAAATTGCACCTAGCGAGTTGGTAGAGAACAAGTGTTTTATTATATGCCGGAGTCCCGTCGACTAAACCCACCTTAATGTGACCAGTAGTTTACGGTTATACTAGGGTACCTGCAATGACCTGACCAGGCCCTTATTCATAATAAAGAAATATCAGCAATAGAGTGAATACTTCTGTGTAGTCGAGTGTTTGATTGTGTTAACGATTTCAGTAGCGCATTCATATTGTACTAATTTTGGGTGCCTCGTTAGTATTTACTGCTAAAGCAACTAGATACAGACACATGGTATTCAACGCCCGCAAAATTTCTAATGTAATTTTTTTACAAAGCGGAAAAATATGTTTTTAAAGTATTCCTTTTGTAAAGAGCTTTGTCGTCATTTCTAAACTACAAAGAGCTTGTCTTCTGTAGGTATGTCAACGAATCACTGGGTAATTAAGCAGATGCGTGCGAGTGAAGATTACTGAGCGTTTGCCAGTTTTGCTCACCGTATTACATATCGCTAGTCGTCTTATCTGACGTTTTCTGAGATTTTTTTTAGCTAGGCCTAATTTAATTAAACGAATTACATTCGTGAGAATGGAGTGGTAGCCGCTACCCAGAGTAATCCCTACTTTTTATATAAGCTTCGCACACGCTAGCACGCATCTAGTATAAATAAAATTCATAAATGAAAAGATAAGCTTGCTATGACTGTAGCTGTTTTATCAGCAGAATTGTACGTGACAAGCCGCTTTATAGCACGTACACGTCCATACAGCTGCACGGGTAATTGGTGTTGACGATGGCATTTGGGACGAGTCCATCCTATTTGTATTACTGGATTAGTTGTTTTGTGTTTTATGACTTCCTTGACAAAATCGTAATTAGGTTGAAATGTCTTTAAAGTTAGCGTCCCTAGGCGGAACGGCACATAGCTCTGTTATGACCTGCTCAACGATCGCTTGAAGACATGGCGCTACTACAGAAAAGGCTTACTTGCACAGTAATTGAAGAATCGATCTTCGATAAGTCAGACTTTCTAGTACCATACTCCATATAGTCTGATAATAATATAATCAATCGTAAGTGTTAAATAATGTCAGCTATAACAAGGATGGTTATTGTACGAGTGGATGGTAGCAGTAAAAAGTACGTCCATTTAGTTGGCAACGCATGCAATTAGATACGGTTAAAACAAATAGAGTATAGTGTTTCTATAGGGTAAGCGGGATCGAATGCGAGGTACTGTACTAATCAGATATGCTTTCTGCGCGTGAGCTCCGTCAATGCGATTGGGTCTCTGAGTGACCTCTGATATGGTTTCCATAAGACGCTATTGTTACATGTAAATGAATTGTTACCCAGGTGGCAATTTCCCGCATTGAGGATTACACGCATACGCCTACAGATGTCGACAAATGTACATATACAAAAATATGATAGCACGATGGGGGTAATTGGCGCTTTGCACCCTATCCAAATTAGTGAGCTACGTGACTGAGTGTTGGCGTCCAAATGAGCTTTCAGCTTGATAATTAGCTGCCAAAAAACACCTGCCGCTGCTTCATGATGACACACACACACTGCTGCAGTAAGAGATTTCTCGCCCACCGACCTGAGAGTTCAACCGAATATTCCCCCTCAGGCTGTCACGACTGTTACGTGAGGTGCGCGTTGCACGTCAGCAGACAATTACTGGACCGTACTCTACGGCGGCTGCAGGGTAGCGTATAACTGATAGAATAAAATTAAGTTACTTTATACCACTTGACTTGATTACTATAAATAGTACTTTTACTAGAAAAGTCTCTGTCACCAGCATCGTTATCATCATCTTTTGCCATTATCTGTTCATGTGTTACACCGTTGTTCTCGTGATGCTAACCGAGTAATCAGGTGTTATGAATGATTTTCTAATTTAAGAAAACAGTAGTGATTAGCTCCGTATCGTCGTCCACAGTGATGCATGTTTTAAGGCGTCACAGACGCGTTGACGGTTGACGAGGTATAGCGGGTTGGCTTTCTGTGCGCGTTATTAAACGCTTAAGCTAAAAACTATGAGCGAAAAGGGCTCAGTACGTAAGTTGCCTAGTAGTCGGATCCGTTGACGACCGTTGAGTGATTGTAGCCTGATGTTTATACCATCCTGTAACCGTTTCACATCACCAGCAAATTGCCACGAAACGATTCTGACAACCCTATTCGTGCTAGTGATTGCGACAGAAGCGATCGTCCTGACGATGATTCTATTATGGATAAAATGGACACAACGGAACAACAACAGCAACGTTCACTAGACCAGCCAAAGGGTTCGCTATATTCGTACAAATGATCGGACCTATCAAAGTGACGATTTGACTTTCTGCACCCTTGCTTTCTGGCTGATAACAACTATAATAATCATATGGCAGAAGTAGACTTTTTTTTTTGTTATTGTGAAAAAATGGAGGAAACTGTAGTGGAAAGACATCGAGGAACGTGTAAAAGAAAAGCTAATACAAACAAGGCTGAGGTCAGTGACGTGCCAAATCAAAAGGTTTGATTCTTTATTATTAGAACTTATTCCATAGAAGGGATATGAAAAGATTTCGGTGCGAAGTGAAGCACCGGTTTTGGGAGCACGTAAACGCATAAATCCAGATTTGGCAAAGCAATATGGTTGATTGTATTTACAGTCGCTCTATGATATTCAGGTATTTGTTTCTTGTCGCAACAAGCTTTAGTTTTCGCTAATTTTTTTGGTTCACCTTTTTTTGCTCTAGCATAGCTGCAGCTTTCTTTGTTTAGAGTATCGAGCGTATAATAGTAGCTTCTATCTGATACATGTAATTACATAAACCAACCTTTAATCACATTCGATTTTCATTTTCGGCTGCTTGCAGGATTTGGCCTACGGAAGACAAGTGCATGCGAGAACGATACAAAACTATCTGTCAGGACATATCAGCTAGCTAGCGCCTAGCACAACATCCCCCAGGGCACTGCTGATTAGAGTTCTCGCCAATAAAACTCTACCCATCATTATCCAGGCAATTTCTAAATGTCGTCTACCTCCCGTCGGCTTAACTGAAGACCTTCGATAGGACAACAAAACAGGATTGCAACATCGAAGACGAGAAAAGTAAAAATTTACAAAAAGGCAACCCTGGAAAGCAAAGGACCCGACCACTATTTTTACCTTATTATCGATCTAGAGCACCATCTATCTATAATCTTCACGATCATTGTTTGTAGTGAGACGATTTTTAATAATCTTACCGACTAATCGTGTGTTTTTATACTTTTACTACATTTGTACACAGTATAGATATTGTAATAACAGCAACGAAATATTCTTTTGAAAAAGGATAACCGAGGCGGAAGCTATCGTCCTCATATCGTGTCGGTGTGGTCGGTCCACCCAAGTAAGCAGAAGAACGAAAACCGCAAAGTGCTTTCTTGTCTTTTGGTCGCTTAAAGACGACATCGGAGCTACCCAATGGGCTAGGCAAGTCCAATTAAATTATTCGTTGGGACTAAACTAAGGGAGCAATTTCGCGTAGACCGTGTTTTTCACGTCTGCATCTTTCTATTAGAATCGCAGCACTCACAGGCTAGCAATTTTCGCAAACGCTGCGCCTGCTCGATAGCCAGCGTTTCTCTCCCTCTCCCTAAGCCTGTGTGTCTGGGTGTAGCTGTCAAACGGCTAACGTCGAGCTTGTTCACCGGGCAAAGGGGCATCAAGAACAGAGAAACGTGTGCGTGTGCGTTCGAGGATGCACCAGTCGGTCGCGCCCCACTACTGTCATCAGCAGCCGCACCACGGCAGCCATTCTGGCCAGTATCACCATTCTGGAGGCAATTCCGGAATCACTTCTACGGGACATCCCGGTGGCCATTCGCAGCCGACGTACCATGGTCACCCTAGCGCGCAGTCTTCACAACATCAGATGCCGCACCAAATGCCCGTTCAGACTCAACAACCACAGTCGCAAGGTCAAAACCAGTATCATCATCAGCAGATGGTAACCAACCCCTCCGGACAGGAAGTCGTCTACGATACGACGATTTATCAACAGCAACAAGCCAGTATGCAGCCGCAATCGCAGCAGCAGCAGCAGCAGCAGCAATACCAAAAATGGTAAGTTATAATCAAACCCCAAAATATTTGAACTTAATGCACGATCGAAAAGAATATAGATGTTCTAAAATTTGTTTCGACGTCAAATGTTTTTAAAACGCAATTTTGTATGTAGTCATATGAAAAGTAAACGCAAACAATGAAAAAAATTACGTTCGGATAATGCGCTTCGTGTGAGCACGTTATGTAGAAGCTTAGTAAATTACAAATTAAAGGCACTTGTACTTTGTAGCCTTTTAGCTGTTATAAGCAAATATACAGAGAGGCATACATGCAAGAATAGGTGCAGTCTAGGGTTCTGATGTAGCGTGTCTTTGATGACACTAACATTAGTCAACATTATCGATTGTAAGGGATGAAGAAATTCGCGTGTCGGTGAGTCCCTATGTGATGGGTCACGTCGGTGAAAAATCCTGGACGAAATAGGTGCGAACATTAGCAGAGATTATTAACGGCTACCTAACTACTGTACAGCCATCATTTATTGTCAAACATGCTTGAGGTAAATCATTCGTGACCTCCTCTGACACGCGTCCGAGAGAGCTTATCCAGAACAGTTGTGAACGTTAATTCCTCGGTGATGCCCTGGCTGAAAATCGTGACTTGCACGGTTTTGCAGGGTAGGTCGAAATTCGGGTCTGGCATCGGTGCTGTGATCTCATTTTAAGATTGTGTAACTTACATTCTAACCCCAATCAAATGATATTGTTTGGTGCGGTACGCCCATTGCGTAGGTACGCCCACCAATAGTACCTAGCATGAACTGGACCTAGTAATATATGTACCTTTTCACTTTGTTGCGTCTGAGTCATTTTTGAGTCACGCAAACTGGACTCTGGTGCGCCCAGATACTGCTGCAATGGCACGATATGTTAACTAAAAAACCGTTCAAAATACTATAAGCTGTTTGCAAAAATGAACCACTATCACATTCGTTTTTGTCCCTATCTGATATGGCACTCTTTTTGTTATGTCTCTTGCCTATAGCACAACGTATCAGCTGCTTGTCACTATGTACAATGCCTATTATGAGGTTTTATTACTGCCATGGATTGTTGGCTCTTTTCTTTTGAGTGAAATAACTAAATGAAAAATAATACACTTTTAGCCTCTACCCTTTATTAAGGAGCGCTAGACTTATATGATGTGTATTGGCTCTTAGCAGATAGTTAACAGTTATTTAAGATGTAAATCTACTGTAACAAAAACATTACTTTCTTAATAAAAAGAGAATAGATTTCTGATTGAGATAGGCGTTGCTCTGGTTGCAAGCTTATCTTCTTCTCTAACTTCAATCTAATTTCTTCTAACTACAAATTCTTCTGTTCACACTTCATTGTTAGCTCACTTTCCCGAATCCTTGCACAGAATGAACTTGTCACAACTCTACTACGGGCAGTTGTGACTTCGGTTCATTTGCCTCAAACATGGATCTGCCTTCGTTCCTTCCGTTGCACTGTATTGCACTGCACATATTAATGAATTCCTATACTGACAGCAGCCGAACCAATTTTGGGTTCTGGAAATAAGTATACACATACAAGGCTTACGTCTGTTCACTATTATATTGTACGGGCGCAATTGTTCGAGGGGCGCGGTGCAACGCGTCGCCTCCGCTCGTCAATGCTATGCATCTAACATGACGGTGAAGGTTATTCTATGGTACCTAGCGGTCTGGTCAGCTGTCGTTTACCATCTATTGCTAGCCGCTTCTGCCGCTGGGTTTCGGGCTTGAGACGAATCGACTCTCTATGGTAGGGTACAAGAGACGGGATACGACGCCACTGAGTTTCTTTTTACAGGGCGTGGAGCCTGCTAAGCGATTGCTGTAAACAGCAATGGCAACGGTAGCAGGAGCAGCATAAAGATCAGCCCTTTGCAATAAGGCCTGATTCAGTCGGGCCCTACCCTTTCCCTCGGCCAGCAAGCCGGGCCCTTCAGGGCCCTAGGTGGGAGCGTTAAGGCTGTGTTGGCTGCTATAGAAAAAAAACTGGATGGAAGAGCTGCCTGCTACTTCGTACTTTGAACGTAGTGCCGAGTGGCTCTCTACGCACCTATTCAAATGGGGCCTTTGGGGCCCTCGCTACCTCTTCCCTTGTCCTCTCTGCAGTCCTTCGCTGAGCCCTGACTAATATGGCGGAGCAGCTTGAGTCAGGCTGTCCCGTGGCTCTCTATCTTAGGCGGAAAGGGTGCGGCGCTGTATTGACCCCCCCCCCCCTTCCCGCAGTGACAGCAGCGAGAACAGCGTCGCCTCATTGGACATCGTGAGCGGCGCCAGGTGCCAGTCAACGTAGGTGGGCGCCTCCACAGCGTTGTTACCTGCTGCGTGGCGTCAGCTGAGCGGCCCCCAGCTATGTGTGGGCGGCCTGCCTAGGTCTGCCTGTGCCCTGTAGCTGCGCCATCATCATCACGAACGACATTATTACCACCTCTACCTACTGAAGTACTTCCTTTCTAAAGTCGTGCGCATGTCGTTTGTTCACTCTGTGATGTGCTCCAAATGAAGTTCCATACGCCATGCGTCGTAGTCAACGTCAAGACGCTGCAGAAGCAGCAGTAACAACAACAATAATAATCAGCTAAAGCCCGAAACAGCGCTGTCGGAACCCAACATCGTTAACTGGGGATGCATCGAGCCTTGACGAGTGGTGCAACTGATTACCGCAGAAGGTCCTTGCACGGAAAAACAAACTAATCACGAATGAAGCCGAACATGTCCCGGATCTGACATCAGTAACAACGCTAGGCATTTTCGTTAAACTGAGTTGCTGCCAGTTACAGCGAGTAGAAGTCGCGAGACATAGATATAAAAGCGACATAACGCTACCTCTATTTCCAGGCAGAAGCGAGGATAGGAAATGTCTGTCCTGCTACGTCCCTGACAAACCGGTTGACCCATGCTGTGATGATCCGCGTTTGCCCGAGGCTTAATCATATCTGCTTGAGGTGCTAAGATAACGTAACGTTATCTTTGTGAATTGCGATTTTGGCCGATTCGCAGCTGTGCCTCGGTTAATAAGCGGTTTTTCGATCCTTCCTTTCGTTTATACCGAAAATATCGCTGTCATCAGCGTTCAGAACAACGGCAGTTACAACAACGCCGCTTTACAAAGAAGAACAAACGCAAAGAGGGCCTACATAATCACCTATGCATTCAAACAGTGACACGACGATAAAAATCTACCGACACATTAGCCATTGCAGTTAACAGTTAACGAATATTAGCAAAGATGGCTGCATAAGAACCTAGGCCCCACCAATGATATTACCAATTAATGGTCGTGTTCACGTAAATAGTATGTGTGACTGGCTGTTAATTTGTGACTTATCCCACAAAGCCGATCTGTGCTTCCATTCCATTTGAGTCCATTAGAATAAGTCTTCCCATTCGTCTCGTGTTATAGAGCGCTTGTTCCGTTATCTAGACCGTGGTGCCTCTAAACCAGACTAGCCGAATCACGAAAAAACAAACGCAGGATAAATTTAGCTGGAACAAGAAGAACGAACGTAGCGTACCGTACAATAAGTTCGCCTTGCTCACAACTCGCAGTAGCTAGGAATTCGTTAGTGCATCCATTAGTGGACACTGATCGAAAAAACAAAATTCTTCAATGGTTTCCTCCCATCACTGCTCCCGCTCATCTATCATTTGTTTCCCGTGCCTCGAGGACTCTGTCTCAATGACACGGATCGGGAAGACCACCTGAAAGTATTTGTGTCATTGCCAACGTAAACGTCAGTCTCCTGTGATCTTCGTATTGCAACTACGGTAGATAGCACTTACACAACACTTTTGTTTTTGAGGTTCTATTTGTTCTGCGAGAAACGCGAGAGAAACACGCGAAATCGCGATGACTTCGAAGAGGAGAGACAGCGCCAATCTTGACAAGTGAGTTGGGTTAAAGAAACAAAACTAATGAATTTATTAGCTGACGAAAGCAAGGCGTTATAGTTAGTTGATCGAGGACTTAATAGCTGAAGGCAGCTATACGAAGATCAGATGTGTTGTTTGTGAACAATATTTCCGCGAGCAAATTGTCTGGGTCCAGGGATGCATTAATCGTTGGTATGTCCTATCGTTGGCGCCGTCGGTTTGTTTTGGAGGATGTCGGACCGTGCAAAACCTTCAACGACACGGTATAGCTCCCAGCGGGTGGGGTGGGAGAGGGCGTTGGGTATGGGGAAGAGAGACGAAACGACGGCTAACGCCGAGCGGAATTTGGTGGTGAGGGGAAACACCTTTGCTCCTCTGCGTTGGCAGCCAGGCTGCAGGACGAAGAAGGACCCTCTCGCCAAGGGAACCCTCCTATTCCAGGGCCCTGTGTGAGAGCGCTTCTTGGGAAACAAGGGACGTATCGTATTCGCGGGAGCGGCGACCACCTCCGCTATCGCCGCCGCCTTCGTTTTGTCCTATTGCGAATCCTGTTCGCAGAACAAAGCACAGGATTCGTATTTCGTTAGTACACATCGTTCCCTTGGTTTCGGGCTCATAATGACACGGCCCGCGTCTGGTTCGGCTGTAGCTCAGGCCACGTATGATACGTAAGATGTGATAGAGTTTGTGATTATTAAAATACAAATACACGGCCAGAGTTGTGTTTCTTAGATGTGCTGTTTTATTGTGTGCCTGCCTGGATACGTATTAGAAACAAGGACATATACGGTTGCATATATATATATATATATATAGGCAATTAGAGCTGTAGTAGAACACGAACGAAACTGAACCGTTCTACCGCCTGCAACGCCTTGTCTTACGTAATGTGGTACCCTTAGCTTGTCCAACGCTAAACATTGATTGATTTTAACGATTGCATATTTCTTAGATAAAACAGCCGTGTATATCGATAATATATAACAATCATGCTACAGGAGACACGTACGTAGAACACCCAGTTTTCGCTGCGCATAGAACGAGAATGCTGAAAGCATAAAACGCTAATACTGGAGGATGCCACACCTTTTATTGTGTTCTTTTTGGCCAACTCACGGAATTTGTATCAAGTTTCTTATGTGCATACCGCTCTTATCTGTATTTACGGCAAGCTCTGCGTGATAACAGGCTTCCGCTATGGCTGTCGTGATCCTTAATAATCTTGAATTTGACAGCTCGTGTAACGGGCAGCCGAGGGAGGACAAGTAATATGGTCACTTGACTATATAATTTACGGGGTTATGGATTAACTTAACTAGGTTAATGTATTAGTAATTTCGGTCTTCTGCCATGTCTTGCAGACAGCCCCATCAACATATCCATAGGAAAGTATTCTTCAAGCTGTAAGACATATACAAGGGTACGTCCAGATCGATTATAGCGAGAGGACTAGCCAAACACTACTGTTTGTGCGACGTTTGTCATCCTCCCACAGCAGAAGTAGAAGAGACGTAAAGAAATTACAGCTATCGTTATTGCTGTCGTGATTATACTTCTTCTATATATCTATTGTTCGCGGGTCGCTCTATAGCCGCTTTGGCTGCTTTAACTCTTAAAGTTTGCTTAAACCCTGTGAAAAATGAGAAAGCATCTTGAAGCCGTCAGTGATGCAAGAAGTTACTAATAGTGATTTAACCCAAAAAAAACAACGTTAACTAAGTCGGATTATATATATATATATATATTTTTTTTTTTTTACATGTGTGTCTGTGAAAGTATGTCTTCACAGGGCTTTCCTTTTTTTAATCGTACTGGCGAAGCAGTTGGTTTACCGCGCGAATAGAGTGGTTGGATTGTCATACCACCCATCAACATACATTGCTGTCTATCTTAGTGTAGAAGGCACGACATAGATATGACTACAACCCGGGGGTCGACGCCCTCCAGAATACACGAACAGACAGAAGACAACTTGCGCAGTGCGGTGCGTACAGCTACGATAGAATAACGAACAGAACGAGAAGGATCATGACTAAGGTTTGCATCAACCGAGAAATCGCTTACATCGTCCGTAACAAGCGTTATACTGGCGCTAATCATAGATGCAATAACGCTCATCGTTATTGACAGTGTCGTTCTCGTCATCATGACAACAAAAGGCTTTCCCGGCTCGCAGCGGCCGCAGGAATTGCAATGTTCGGGACGATATAGGGGAATTTAGGGCTCTAGTCACGCAAAAATTGTCGAAAGAGGCAATCCGTTAGTTACTGCCTTTGCTGTTACAACAATCACTATTGCCATTATTATGAATAGTACCACTACCGTAACTATTTGCTGAAATGCTCTAAAGGTTTACGTATAGAGCAACTTTTGGCATCTATAAGCACACGTAGTAGTGCGCCTGTATCTGTATATAACAGGTATTTTGTCGCTTAAAGGGAAAAACAATCAGTGAGTTTCTAGGTGCTCACCGCCTTAGCGTTATTTCTGCGAAACAGGGCGTTGCTCAAAAACTTGGGGGCCAATTCGGCCAGAAACGTGTGCGACTCCAGGTAGAAAAGTACGCAGACGCGGTGATTCGACAACGCCGGATCATAAAGCTAAAACTTACTGAGACGTTGAATCAGTGAAAAAAGCAGCAGAAGGGAACCGAATCTTCGTTACTATGGTCTAAAGGAGACCGAAATAAGATATTTTTTGGCATATTGTAGTTAGTTTTAACGTAATGGGTCGTTCTGTATATAATAATCATTTAAAAAACGCAGTATTATCAAAGACGTTGATTACGCCGAAGGTTACAGCGGAATTTGTAAATGTTCTTTTGTGCTATGCTGTCAACGTTTCCATTAGAAAATACTCAGCGCGGACTTACGTTATTATATAATGGTTACCAACAGTACGTCGCATTTGCAAACATCTCTAACACACACTTTACTAACCAATTTTTCCTAATTTGTGTGCTTGTTTGTTTTTTTGTGTTTGTGTATGGTTCCCAGTGAGGTGTCCGTCGCCTCGGCGCGAGCATCAGTTCTCCTATATAACGAGCAAAGTAAAAAATGGGTGCCCTCCGGATCGTCTTCGGGACTGTCCAAGGTACACATTTATCAACACACTCTGCATGGCACCTTCCGCATCGTTGGCCGAAAGCTGGACGATCACGAGGTAGTCATAAACAGCGCCATCCTGCGTGGTTTCAAGTACAACCAAGCCACGCCGACTTTTCACCAATGGAGGGACCAAAGGACTATCTACGGACTCAATTTCAGCTCGAAGGATGACGCCGAGCATTTTGCTCATGCTATGACTAACGCTCTGGAGCAGCTCGCCAATCCTGGGGCGGCAATCCAGCCGCCGCCGCCTCCATTGCCGCTTCAGCCGCCCCAGGCGGCGCAATCCGCGAACTCAGTAGTTCAGCAACAAGTGCAGACGCAACAACAGCAAGTGGCGAACGCGACGCCGATCTACCAGACGCCCGTCGAAGTGCCGCACCCCGCGCAGCAACAGCCGGCGACCCCTGCGATAATGAACAATGGAGGCACTGCCGGAGCGCCTCCACCTCCACCACCGCCGATGCCAATTGGTGGCCATCATGTGCGTAACCCATCAACAAACGGAAGCCCCTATGGAGCACCCGCTGCTCCCGCACCCCCTCCAGGACCTCCTCCCGCACCTCCTGCACCGCCTCCAATGCCGGGAAATATGGGAGCACCCCCTGCGCCTCCTGCGCCTCCTGCGCCGCCTATGGGCGGCCTTGGAAGTGGTGCACCTCCGCCGCCTCCGCCACCTCCGCCACCCGGAGGACCTTCGGTCGGAGAGTCGGGTGGCAACTCGTTGCTCGCAGCCCTCAGCAGCGTTAAACTGAAAAAAACACCACCTATCGAGAGTGGTAGCAGTAACTCGGGCGATAGCAGTCATTTGGTAGGTAATAACACCAATGATGGAAGTTACTTGTGGTCACTTATTATTGTACATGCTTGTTAGAAGCGTCATCTGTTTGTATTGAACATTCGTAAAATGAAAGCAATAAATACAGCTTAGTTCTGTATAATTAATACTGAGTATTTTATATTGATTAGTGACCGTCTAACAGAAATAGATCTCGACTGGAAAATGCGAGTTCACTTAAACGATGTATGTGATATGTAATAAATAACAGTTAGGGCCCCATATGGCACCATATTTAATCATGTCTTCGGTAGTATCGAACTGTATGTTTTCGTGATCGTATTACCAATATAACCGCTACTGCCATTGTCGCTCCTTTCACAGAGGAAAGCGAGCTCAGGAAATCCAATGGCGAGCATGCTGGATGAGATGCAGGGCACGCTTGCGAAGAGGAGGGCCCAGGCGGAAAAGAAATCCGCTGCGACCGCCCTTTTCCAAGATGGCAAGGAAAGAGATAACAACGGTCACGGCCACGGAGATCACTCAAATGGGGCGAGTAACGGCAGTACAACGGGTAACAGCAACTGCAAGACCTGGTCACCTGGACAAAACGGCGTCGTAAAACGCAATGATCAACAACCCGGAGACACTAGCCCGAAGTCGCAACGCAAGTAAGTCTTACAGACCTATATCCTAACAATACAATTTGAAGTGAGAGCATACAGCCTGATTGTTCGGTGTTTAAAACCTGCCATCGACGAATCGACTAAGGGTGATCTTAACGCTTCTACTTACACTGCAAACACTACACTGAGAACAATGCCGCAACAGACGTTTTCAACAAATCTATAACCTATGCAGAGCTTCATGGGGATGTAAAAAAGATACACAGTTTTAAGAGGCCTTCCTGTAAGATGTCATATCGAGCTGATTGCTAACACAGTCGATTAGTCAGCTACGCTGAACTATGTGATAAATTATCATGGGCAAGATACAGAAAAAGCATAGTTGGCCAAAAAAAGTTTTGGAAATATTGTGGCCGCATATGAAAGCTTCGTGGCCGAAAAGACGAAGACCAAACACTTGTAGGCCATCAACTAGGAATTGACGAGTCGTGAAATCGGCCGAGTGTATGCTGCGATCCGTGAATGTATTACCATATTTGGTTATAGCTGCCTTTATCAGACAGACAATCATCGGACCGGACGTTACTAACAGTGTGCATCGCAGGCAACGAATGGGATCGATGGGTGATATGGACGGCATCAAAATGAACGGTGACGCCAACGGCGGCGCGGTGCTGGATAATGAACAAATGGAGAGACTCAAAAACGATATTCTCAGCGAAATGAAGAAGCACATGAACAAGGTTAAGGAAGAAATCATCACAGGTATGAAAAGTCAACATGTAGTTTATTTATTAATCGCTCGGTACCCCAGAGACAAATTGGTGATTGTTACATAAAGTCCGTCGATGCTGTGTTTCATTTGCAATGAATCAACAACGTTGTGCCATCTAGAGTACAACATTAACCGACTGTTCTTCCTGCCACCGTGATTGCCATGTTTGCAGCGATTCGGCAGGAACTGAACCGGCGATAAGAAGCGTGTTGCAGATGTTCGCTTGGTGTGGCTTCGCAGTTCGAACACGGGACGAACGATTTCAGCTAAAAATACAAGACAACATGATGTTGGCCAAATATTGGAAAACACGCAACCAAGACAAATACCACAGGTGGCTGAGATAATCTAGTCGGTAGAGGTGTTGCAGGGTAGAGAGTTGATAATGCGTGACATGCGTACTGCGTACCGCTGTGTGTCTGGTGCTGGCCACGGTGAGAATGGAACTAAGCGGGCACCACTGATTCACAACTCCACGTATGCGGTACGCAACACCGAGAGTCGACGGTATGCGTGAGTGCGTGTGTTCCTAGTGTAACCAAAGCCACAGTGACGACCGTGCCGTATAATAATGATATTGATGATGATAAGAATCATAGTACTGATAATGATAATAACGTACCAGGGGAGAAATTGGACAGCGATGATGCGTCTACGGGGAAAAGAGTTAGGGGTGCTGTAGGTATCGGGGGGCAAAGCGCGAAGCAGTGTTCATTTGTGGCCATATGGGGTATTATGTATGCCAGGTGAAAAGTCGTAAACGTAGTTGAAAAGAATGACTTGCAAATGAGAGAACTTACTTAGCCAGTCAATTCATGGATTATACAAAATGGACAAATCATTTCCAAATCCCATTTTAAGCAATCGGTGAAAAGCATGTTATTTCTTAAGGCAAGCTGAAAATTTCGTAGGTTTAGAGGCTCGATAATCTGTGTGTAAACGAAGTGGTGAAGTGAGAGCAAAGCTTGCAAGGACTAAGTTGATTTCGAATTGGTTTTGCCAGCGGGCATCAGCAAAAATGTAGAGGAATATATATTGTACTGCTGCAACATTGAACTGTGCATATTACAAGCGCACTATAATAAAAGCGGAGGCCGATAGGTGAAACCGTAGGGCTTAAACAAGCTATGATGTCATTATATGCCATAATATACTATACTGTATTGTAAACTTCAGTCGCAGCAGTGACACCGTTACGTTGGAAACGGTAGTTAAGTCATAGGTCGTTTTCGATGGATAGATACGTACAGGTAAGATAAGGCGACAATATCTGTATGAAATATTAATTGCTGGGCCCCTCATCGAGTACAGTAAGCATTATCCATTGTAATGTCCATGCGGTGGTCAGTGCCTGTGAAGTAAGATCTCATCGCGGTTGATGAGCTATCACAAAAGCCCTGCTGCAAAAAGGCAGAATTTGGAAATCTTACGATTTCACAAATTAAGGGGGCGCTCGATCAAAGGTCCCAAAGAACTCAACCCAGCTGTGGTTTGTTTTTGTATTCATATAGAACTGTATTGTGTTTTATGCGAAAGAGAAACATTTATGTCTCTTCTTTTTATAAATGATAGGTTCTATAATCTTGTAAATGAATTCATCAATCAGTTCATCATTTTATCAATTTCCTTTATATATATGAGATGTCACTGCTGTGATTCGGACGCTGTGTCTTCTCGGGTTGCAGATAACCGATGTCGCGGGAGGGACAAATAGACATGAGGCAGGGAACATACGATGTTGATATGCTTGACATAACTGATCTTCAGTCACAGCAAAACTCTTCAACAGACATTTTTCCATCTGTGGGAATGTTATTATTAGCTTCTTATATAGCACTCACAGGTAGCAGGAAAACGAGCGACGTCGTTGGTATCGCACATCTGAGTATAAAACGGCTTGCTTGGATGCTAAAAGTTTCATTGCCCCAGCACCAAAAGACTGACAAGTTGGAGCGAGTGTCATGAAAATCAATAAGAACAGCTATTTTCTAGCCCTGCCACGTTTTACCAATAAGCATGTCGACGACTTACCAAATTGAGGTCACAAGCACGCAACCGCCGCGTGTAGTGGTTTGACACTATGCCCACCGAGTTCAGATATATCGAATATGTTCTCGAAAAGTTCTCCGTTAAAAACAAGACAGCGAAGTACGGCGAAAGCTGCGATGTTGTATTCTCTAATTCTCTTTTACAACAAAAACAAAAAAATTAAAATTATTGGCCTGCACATATAGACAATGCAGAACCGGACATTAGAACAGAGAAAAGGCAAAGCGTCTGCTTAAACCGAAACACCAAAGCCTTTGCTCCGCTATGCCAATCACAATGATGATGGTGATGACGATAATGATCAGTATAGAAATTGATATGAGTATATAGAAAAATATATATGTACTATTGCTAAGAATAAAGGGTTTTACTACTACTGCTATCGAGGTATGATATAAAACGAGCAGAAAAACAGAATAATAATAATAATAATAATAATACAAAACCTAAAATAATTAATATATTACAGTACGATTACATTTAATATTACTTCGATTAATTTTTTAAGAGCTCTCTAATAACCACGAATATAGCATTATAAACGGCTCGAGAATCATTTCCGAGCCATTGCTGCTGAAGCCTAACTGCTGAAGGGGGTGCGCGCTGCTCACGTGGAAGGGAATGTAATGACTTAAATACACTTCATGCCAGTGGTATTATATTACTGAATAGGTGAATACAGTAATGGATAACAGAGAGAGAGAGAGAGAGAGAGAGAGAGAGAGAGGGAGAGGGAGAGAAAATATGATCCCTACGAGAGTTATTACAATATTAAACCAACAACATAATTTAAATAATTTATTTTTGCATTCATACAACAGTAACATCATAAAAACAATAGCAGTGTAAACAAAAAAGTATTTATGTGTGTGCATTAAGAAAGCATGGCATAAAAGACAAGAGGCAAAAATGATTTTGGGCGAGAGAGGAGAATCAGAAAGTTTCTAATATTTTAATAAAAAGGTTTTGATAGTCTCACTATACTAGAAAAAATTACAAGCGCAGCCAAACAAACAAGTATTCAAAACACGTATAGATACATGTATTAGTATGTATCAGTCAGTATTAAGATGCATGCTACAGGCAAGTGAGACATGAAACCTATTATTATAATTCATCTAACCGACAATTGAAATCACTGTTCTTCATTTAAAAACTAATATTGAGCGCAACTTTTTTTTTTTATGATAAAGATAGGAGAAGAGGTTAATGTGAAGGATGCTTAAAAACGAATGGTCAAATGCCTATCAATACTAATAATATAAGCAATGATAGCAATGAAAACTTTTTATTGAAAAACGATAACGATTGATAATAGGAGTAACATAATAACGAGTAAGTAAGAAAGGAAACAAACAATACATACAGGAAATGACGACATCATAATGAAACAGGTCCGATCATAATAATAATGATAATGCCGACACTAATAATAACATAATAACATGTAATACTACCATTATTATTATTATTTACAGTCACAAATAATATAAGTAATGATGATAAAGATTAATAATAAAAAGAAAGAGACAGTATACAGCAGTAGTGGCAGTAATATATATATATATATATATATATATATATATATATATATTGACGACTGTACTGATAAGACAGCAGTGAAGATGATGATGACCCTATTTTGATTGAGCCTCCCACCTGTAATGTATAATTGTTTAGTCGTGTAATTTTGCAATAGTTCCTTACACCGACCTGCCTCTGATGCATGAATTTCTTCCATATTCCGTTTCGCAACCCACCAGCTTGTTCACCAAATGATCGACACCGACCCTTTCTTTTACGCTGAACATGATCGCTATTACGATGCCCGAGAAAGCTCACGAGGTCTGCTCGAGAACTTTTCACCTCATTGCAATAGATTCGGCAGAAAGGAAGCCCAGCAGATGGCAGTGCAGCCGATGAGGCAGGAATTTAGTTCCCACCTTAATTGCCATGCTACAAAGCTTTTCAGAGCAACACACGGCGATACAAGCTACCAATAAGCATCAGCTTCATGCGCATAGCGTCTGCGTATGATTTCAAAGCATGAACGTATTGATCTAATAACTGTAGTAACAATTATAAAAAACGTCGACCATTGATAGTACCAACGTAATATTATTGTCACAACCAAATTAACAACAAGAACAAGATGATGGTAACGCTAATTGATAATTATAATCAAACAAATGGCGAATATTGTATGTGTGTTTGAATGTCATCAAACGAAAGACAACGCAGAGAAAGAAACGATGGATAAGAGATTCGTGAGAGCTAAATGAGGCTGGTCTGATGAACAACGTAATGCACAAGCGGCGCGAGGATCAGCATCCATGTGTACAGTGTTGCTGGCTATGTGAAGTACACGATCTTTGTTCTGAAGCCACTCGATCATGTCTGTCGTTGCTGCTAGTACATTTGAGACGAGCTCTATATAACTGTTTCCCATAGAACTTTGTCGGTGCTCGTGAAACTTGAAGGCGACGATGAGGAAAGAACAAAACAAAGGGCTAGCACGTTGACAAAATATAGGATCGATTTTGAAAAAAATTCCAGTTTTTTTATGTGACACTATTTCGTCAAACAAACGAACAGAGTGTACTTTGGCAACAGCAGTCGCAGCGGTATGAACAATAACAGAACATGTGTTCTCGGCATAGCCAACGATGCAAGATTTAAAGCAATTAATTTATAATCAACAACAACATGACGGCGTCTTAACAAAAAACAAAACACATTTGTGTTTGTAACATAAACGACGATAGGAGAAAAAGCTTTGATACCCAACAGCGAGCAATCGAAAAACCACAGTATTACTTGTGGTGTTGCTACAAATATGGTTAGCAGCAGGAATCAAAATACGAGAGTCAGCTACAATAAACTAAGAGAACCTATTCGTTCAAGGAATGGCAACCGCGAGTTTTTGGCCTGATCAAAAGCCATGCAGCCCATATCGTAAACAAGCATTAGCATGGCTGTCGGCCAAATATGAACAGAATCACGAGTGAGCGCAAGCTTAAACTAGTGGTGAAAAGCGAATCCTATTCAATACTGGATAAGATCAATGCTGTGTCTTCGGTATCATTATTGAACTAACGACAGTAATTGCTATTAATTTCTGTAGTATACTTATTATAACTCATGAACGGATAAAGTCAAATAACAGGAAATCACGACTAATATAGGGAAAAAATTGATGGTATCGAAACTACCCGCAGGGGGAGATTAATGCTATTAAATATAACGAAGGATGATGGATAAGGAGGATAAGGATACGCGATCTAATGCGATATCAATGCTATTATTACAGATATTGATAATAATATTATAAACATACACAGTAGCATGCATATGTGAGGCCAATTTCGTGGCTTCCAGCTAACCCAGGGCAGGCAAAAAATTACGAGATATAATGATTATAATGCAAGAAGAGAGCACGGAGTCTAGGACGATTACAATGTCCCTTATGACGATGTCAGCGCAATGATTGAATCCAAAAAGAAGAGGATGGCGAACGGGGATACACACAAATGAAGCAAGCAGCCAACGAGAAAACCAACAACAACCCATTGAACCGCCTATAACAATTCTCCAAATGTACATATTAATAATAAAACGCTGGTAATAAATTACGACATATACTTGTCTCATTACTTATTTTTCAGTCATATATATATATAGTGTAGCTATAGATATTTGATGTTACAGTAAAGGGTTTTTGGGCAAGCAATGACAAAAATACCGGGTTAGTAGTGGAAATACGGTAGAAATAGTGTAGAAGTAGTCGGAAGACCAGTCTTGCTCTGCCCAAAATGAAGCCGCAACCGGTGCAAGATCTAACTTGAAGGTGTTAGACTAACTAAAAGAGTGTTAGAAAAGATTACTATCTCGCATACTGATTTTGGAGAAGCAACTTCTCGTGCGCAAGAAACTTTTGCATTTAAGGCTAGCGCAATCTGAAAAAGTAGCATTACTAAATTAGCTAATTAAAAGACATCAGGCAATTTTTCTGCAAAAAGAACTTTATTTAGACCCAATGAAAATCAATACACTTTTTAATTCTGTGAGTCATAACACATACGTTTTCATCACGTACAATTTTTTCCAAAATTGAGATATCTTTATGTTTACAGAAGTATGTACAAACTACGCGCTGTTTCAAAACAAAGAAAAAATTTCCAATGTTTGACTAGCGGTTCTTTCTATCCCCGCTAACTAGATTTGTTGGAATACCATCACAATGTGTTGGCGTCATTGATTTCTTTCTTATTGTCAATGTCACCCTCTGGCTGTTTGAAAATAATTTTTGCCAGAGGGCTGTTCTTCTTAAGGGTGTAGCAAAGAGTGGCTCTTTCATAGTAATTGTCGCAGATTTCCAGATTCGAAATGACCACATCTAGAAGGTGTCCTCGGTGACAGCCCCCACCTGAAACGATCGGTATGGGCGGTAAAGTAAAAACAAAATCGAGGGCACGAGTTTTCGGTAGTGTGACCAAGCTGGAAATAATATTTCTAATAGTTGTGTATAGAAGAATCTATCAGAAGCCGTAGTCTATTTTATTCGTCAGTTTCAGCTTCAGCATGAATTCTGCTAGACTATCGTCACTTCTCGTTATTTTGGTATGCATAAATTTATCGTTAGTTCCACATAACAGCGGCGAACTGAACAACTAGATAATATTGAATACTAGATAATAAGACCACATATCGTCAGCCCTCCCATTTTGTATCGATTTATTATTAACGATCCATAGGAAAACAACATAACAAACTATGTTTGCTAGCTAGAGCAGACGAAGCAAATTGCGCTGCAAGCAATGCTTAGGCAAAACGTTAACACCCCAGGAAGCACTGCACTTCAGTCCAAAATGCACAAAAACAAAAAATTTAAACAAAATTTGCTCCTTCTCTGTCACTGCAATCGTCAGTAGATATTATAAAATGCTTACGAAATGGAAACACACCTTCCATCAGTTTCAAAAAGTACAGGAAACAACATTTGTTCTTCTTCCCGATGCGGAACCCTTTTAATAACACGTGCAAATCTATCGCATTTAAGGCGCATTCTGACAATTTTATGCTGGCAATATTTCTACATCCAGATGTCACATTCCGTAAATTGCATAATGGAAGGAAATCGAATCTGTTACTGCTGACCTCGTCGTAGATACTACTACTTATTTCCTTGGATACTGGTGCTAAGAGGTTTTAATTCTATCAAAAAAAAAAGTAAGTTTAGAGCGACTTTTAGGCAGTCAACTTAGCATTGTTTACGTACGTACCAGGTGGATTCTCAACCGTTATGGCCACGACGTGTATGTGCATGTGATAGTACGAAGGCTGGTAGTGAAAGTATAGCATTAGCTTGTCTTCACCCATGTCAAACTTTTCTTTCGTGTAGATAAACACTTTACTACGTATGTTTCTCAGCATTGGCAAATGCCGGGCACGGAGATCTCTGAGAGACCGCAGCTTCCTGTCATGAACCATTATGAGACAGTGCAAATCTTCGTTTTGCTTCATATCCCACTTCATATCTCTAATCAACATAAAACCAACCTGCAAAACATGTGTTAGGTAATAATGTATATGCAGACAAGATAGCTTATAAATTTCACACAATAGATATGGAAAAAAATTCTCATCTGCAGTAGAGTAAAGGAGGTCGAAAAATTGGTTGACAACTATTATTCGGAAGGATTTTTTTTAAACAATTGCAAGCCAACTTTGAAGAACCATCTCTGTCTCAAGTTTACTGTAATGATTAACTGAAATATTTCAATGAGCCACACACGCGTGCACACCGATTGCGGTGTGTCATCATATAGAACTGATTAATGTAAATAGCTTGAATGAGCATTTTGCTGGACCATCTGGCAATCCAGGATTAGCTTACCTGTTCAGAGAAATCCTCGTACAAGACACTCTCTTGTTCAGCTTTATGCTCAAGAATGTTGTAAACCCACTGCACCGAAAAACAATTATCTTTGAGGTAGGGCTCCACGCGCTCCTTGTAAAGTTGGGCAGTCTCTGTCACCAACAACAACTCTTGCCGGCTGTACTTTTCAATATGCTTCTCTGTTGCCGGGTATATCACGGTAACCTTAATTTCTACAATAGAAATTTCAATGTAACTTCATGAAGAATGTTAATGACATATACGACTTCATTTTGAAAGAATGCAAAGCATGAATTTTATCTGAATGTCGTTCTTTCAATAATATTCAAAAGCAACAGTTCAAAGTTATTGGAAGAAAATAAAAAAAGAAGCTTATTTCAGCCGTCAGACATTGTACCATTGAGAGATCTCTCTGGTCGTAACAGGTACCCAGAGTAAATGTCATTCCGAAAAATCTCTTCAGGGATTGCGTCCTTCTCAGGACCTTCCTGTGTCTTAAGGATTTTGGTGCACATCTCTTCGGAAAACGGTGTCTTCTCCAAAATCACCACAGCCGCATCCTCATTCCCTTCAAACTTGCCTTCAACAAAGCTGATCTGGAATCGAAATAAACGGACAAATATTAGAAATAGCATTGCTTCAGTTGGTTCGTCCCATAGCGAAACGAAGTCTGTCTACTCTCGGCTTCGAACCTGTACCACCTGGCGCGTTTGGAAATTTACCTTACCACTGCGCTATTACCGATGAATAGTTTATATGACCAAAGCTGTGCCACTAAAATGGCTTTTTTTGGCCAAACTTGTCGTTACGTCTTCGGATAATGAAAAGCTAGTGCCCGGCGGTTTTCTAGGATAAAAAGGCGCCATACAGCAAAACCTTACGCTATCTCATAATTTTAATATATAATATATAATGCCTTAATAATGTTTAAATTGGCCTTACATACCTTCGATTGTGGGTTATCGTTGAGAATACGTTTGAATTGAAATTTTCCGAAATCACAAGGTTTCTGTGCTTTAACATCGCCGGAAGCCATACTGTCCGTGGAAGCTACTAACGTCTAGAATTAGTTCAAAAAAAACCTTGTGATTTAAGATATGAAATTTAACACTACAGTTACAAGCACGACTTTCTTCTACGCCGAAGCCCTTGGAAATATAATCAGCATTATTACTTGCGTGTAACGCAAACGTAACATTTACACGTGATCCGTCTGTATATTTATGCCTTTCAAGAGACAGATATCCAACTATGCTCCTTCAATTTGATATACGTCTTTGTATGATTTTTTTTTATTAAGGTTCCTTTCCTTTGTACGGTAAAGTATAAAAATTGTTTTGTGTGTTATCTTTGATGTTACATGTACACCAATTGGACGCCTATATGTACTCCCTATGCACAATGAATCATCTCCATTTAGATAGCCTGAGAATTAAGGATATGAGATTTGCGCAATTCAACTACACCGTGTACGGCTAGCTATATGTGTGTTAATATGTATTTACCGATCAATATAATTCAGTAGACATTACGCCAAGAGCTTACACAGGTCATGTTTTAGTGGAAGCTTTTCTCAATCGTTTTTTTTGGCATTCTAAGATAAGTTACCACACAATTAATTTGTGCGTTTCAACCTTGGTCATCTTCTAGAACCGCTAAACGAGCTACAAGGATGTTATAATTTGATGTTGAGGCAATGTACGAATTTTTCAGGCTAAATCCAAATTGAATTCTTGCTAACAACCTTTGAGGGCTCTTTAAAAAGGATACTCAAAGAGAATTTGTTTTTCACGAACGCGTAGCGACTTCTTCGTTGGTTGAACGTTGAACAAAATGTACATTTTGAGTATTTTTACTGACAGTCGTCGTTAGGCGATTATACGTCGTTGTTTTATTTTATTCTCAATATGCGCCTCCAATGTTTGTCATAGAGTCATAGGAATGTATATTCCTATGACTCTATGACAAACATTACAGTGTACATTATACACATTATTATTATATTATTACACATCATTATTATTATTATTATATTATACAGTTATACAGTGTAGATTGTACAAAACCGTTTTAAAGCTGATTTAGTCTGCAAGTCGTAAAATGATCAGTTATTAAACATATGTAAACCTGAACAACGACAGAATGGAATCTGCAGGTCCTCATTGCCATAAAAAAAATGTAATTAAATAGGGTTAATAGATCAACAACTGGTTTTAATTGGCAAACTCGTGGTACTTCATACGTACGAAACTGTTCAGTCCGTGTCGTTCAATGGATGCACCAAGCAAGCTTTTATTTTGGTTTGTTAAACCTTAGTGTTCTTGAACGATCATGCCAATAAGTTCACATTGCAACTATTTATTATGAGCGTCTACGATCATCTGTCCGTCGCTTTTGAATTTGCCGCCTTTTGATGGGCGCATAGCTGTTGACGGTGGTTTTTAAGCCGCTCGTGTATTGTGTCGTGTATCGTGTAAAAACATCCTACATTTTGGCGAAAAATACCGATTCGAGCTATCTCTATCCACGAATTGCCATTTGTCGCGTGGGCGCACTTTATAAATGAATCATTAGCTGACATCACAGCAAGCTTCATGATTCCGCCCCATCAACAAATGTGCGCTATATTCAATCCACATGCTGTCTGGTGCTCATTCCCGCTGCCAGCTAAATTCTGTCCCTGAACCGGTTAACGCTAAACGTAGACCGAGTAGCGCAGCAGAAATCGTTCTGCGTTATCAGTGAAAGTTGCGCGGTGTTGATTCTGATCCGGCCGATACCGTACGTGTGTTTTGGTATTGACGACTATTATCGCAGTTTTCTTTTGCTGTAGCAGCCGCAGCTATTGGAATATTTTTGATTTTATTAATTGCAAATACACGATTTCAATCTTTACTGAAAACACAGGCGAAAATGTTTATCTCGAATTACCTTAACAGGAAAGCAGAAAAGTGATAGACAGCGGTTCCAGTGGCATCTACAGATATTTATTCATTTCTTTTTGTGTGCCTCCTGATCTCCTTGTTATCTAGACCTCACCAAAAAGCCCTCTCATGATATTGCCCCCTCCGTTTAATGTGTCCTGACACAAAGCTTATTTGATCTGCTAAGCTGTCTGTGCGTTTCCTTGTATTGAACTACTTATTATGTAGCTCAGTCCGCTTCGGGTGGTGTGTTGGCGTTAGTTTTCGGTTGTTATGGTCTTATTCCAACACCTTGGTTTTCTCCTACCACGTTATCTTACCAAACAAACAGGTTGCGCTTCACGATAGTCGCTGGTGTTAGTGTCTGTACGATCAGCAGTTAACAATCAGTGTACCGGAGCACAACGCAAACTAAATGTGCTACTATTTCGTACGCTAAGTTCTTCCGTAGTCCTACTCAATGCTGTTTCTCGTCTGGCCTCATGCCTCCACTGCTTCTGCTGCTGCCGCCGTTACTGCTGCTCATGTCAATGGTAGCGGCGTGATCGTTCATTCTCTGTCGACAACTGTCGTCGGCACCGCCATCTGGCCGCCGTCTGGTGTGTTTTGGTTGTAATGGTAGTCTAATGACTTGAGTCTGTAGTCTGCGCCAGTGTGTATACTCACTCTCAGTTGACTGCTGCCTCTGCTTGGCTTGTCGGTGTCGTCCGTTTGACCAAGTGCGTGTGTGCTACCCCATACCAGTACACTTATGCGTTATTACGACGAACTACGACTACTGCAGAGGACTGATGCTGACTGGCTGGCTGACTGATTGACTGACCAGCTCTAGTTAAGGTTGGCTCTCGTTCGGTCGTTGCTCCTAGCTGTTAGGCAGCAGCAGCAGCAGTAGCAGGAGAAGTAGCAAATGGCCAGGCCAGCTCGCTGACAGAACATACAACACGGAACGAAGGAAGGAAGGAACGAACGAACGAGAGAGAGAGAGAGTATATTCGTTCGCTACAACTGCCGCTGTGATCTCCTTAGTGCTCGTCGTCTTGTCGTGCTACGGGGACGGCCGGGGTGCACCGCTGTTCGGCCGTGTCGTGCTGCCCGTTGTTTCTAGTGGTATCAGCAACAACAACAGCAGTAGTAGTTGTGGTAGTAGCGGTGACTCGAATTAGTATCTTTGTCGCGCGCCGTGTTTCCGTCGTCAGCAAGCCAACGTTGCCCTCGTTGTCGTCCAGTGTCTCGCGTGGTTTTGCCAGCACTAGCAGCGGCGCTAACAGCGCTGCAAGTCCGAGATAGAAGCGACAGAGTCGTAGAAGGGAGACCGTGGGGCAGTCAGTTGAATTTCGGCGAACGGCGTGCAAGTCGTCGGTGCCCGTAGTTCTACAACTAGTACTATCGAATATCTGTTCTCGTGGCGATCAGCAGAGCAGTGAGTTTTACCGTTGTATCGTCGTTTACCATCTACCACCACAGCATCGCAGAACAGTGCCACAGCGTACCAGCTTGCCACTAAGAGTATAACAAGATCCACGATTCAATGACACAGGGAGTAACTCAGCGATTCTGTGTACTTGCGCTAGAGTAAGAAGAATGCTATCAACCCGATTACGACTACTGGAGAAAGCGCACGAATATTACAGTTAACATTACTAACAACAGCACGGCTCTTGTTACTCATACAACGATTACCATAACAACAGCTACTTCTACAACATCTGCTGCTCCGATTTTCTGATTACTGATTGTATATTAGTGCTGCCATTGCGGCCGATGCTATTTGCTGTCTCGTGCCCGTCCACGGCCACCGTTGCTACCATTGAACGCACGGCCGATGCCAATATATACAGCCACCGCTGTTTTGCATGTGGTAACTGACCACCATTCTCCAGCAGTCTCCTTCTCGTCGTGTTCATTTACCGTAAATGCCGTAGCTGCTGCTGCTGCTGGAGTTACACTCGCAGTTGTTTCTCAAACGAAAGAGTCTCTACCCGTGTTTTTTCTTCCTGTATTGCGAGCTGCCACTGTTAAAGGTATAATACAAGAGTGCAGGAATTTGACTGTGGTGTGCGGCAACAGAGATTGCTCCCATACAATTATTACTGCTACTGCAGTGCAGTTGAGGTGTTGAAAATATCTTTTACTCACCGGTGTCTCGGTGGGTTACCGTGTGTGTACTGTGATAACGAGGAAGGACTCACTTGCCCGAGAGCCGCTATGGACGCGGCCCGCAATCGTATCGTAAGCTACAAGAATAGAGGCAAGGACAATGATGAGATGCGCAGGCGGCGAAATGAGCAGACCGTCGAACTGCGCAAAAATAAGCGTGAAGAGTCGCTACTGAAGAAACGTAACGTTCCTCTGGCTGCCGCTGCTTCGGAAGGTGAGGTTGATTTAAGTTCGGAAAGCGACGGCGACACTGAGGGCGAACTGTCCTGTCGGGAGGACGATGCGGAAACGCGTCTCGAGAATATCGTCGCTGCTGCGCGAAATCCCGACCCCGCTGTACAATTGCCGGCTGTTCAAGCTGCGCGGAAACTGCTCTCGTCCGATCGAAATCCACCCATAGACGACCTCATTTATGCCGGCATTCTGCCCGCACTCGTTGACTGTCTCCGGAAGCACGACCAGCCTGGACTACAATTCGAGGCCGCATGGGCGCTAACCAATATCGCTTCAGGCAGCTCACACCAAACGCGGGCTGTCGTTTCGGCCGGCGCAGTGCCATTGTTTCTCGAGCTATTGCAATCACCCCAACAGAATGTCTGTGAGCAATCGGTCTGGGCGCTGGGCAACATTATTGGCGATGGGCCGGAACTGCGTGATTTAGTTATTAATCTCGGTGCTGTGCCACCATTGCTCGCATTCGTCACACCCGATGTGCCACTGTCATTTTTACGCAACGTAACATGGGTACTCGTGAACCTTTGCCGGAATAAGGATCCGCCGCCGCCGACGTCTACAGTCCGTGAGCTGCTACCCGTCTTGGGAATATTAGTACACCATGCCGATGCATCGGTTCTGGTAGACACGGTCTGGGCACTATCATACCTCACCGATGGCGGTAACGATCAGATTCAGATGGTGATTGATACTGGAGTCGTTGCTGCACTTGTACCGTTGTTGTCACATGCCGAGGTGAAGGTGCAGACAGCTGCACTTCGCGCCGTTGGCAATATAACAACTGGCACCGATGAACAGACTCAAATTGTGCTCAACCATGGCGCGCTGCACCATTTTGTTTCGTTGCTTCAGCATCCAAAAGATAAGATCAAGAAAGAGGCCGTCTGGTTTTTGTCGAATATCACTGCCGGCAACCAACAACAGGTACAACAGGTCATCGATGCTAACCTCGTGCCATTGATCATACATCATCTGTCCAATGGCGATTTTCAAACGCAGAAAGAAGCCGCCTGGGCAGTGTCGAATCTGACAATCTCTGGCACCCGAGAGCAAATGGAATATCTTGTACAGCAGAATGTTGTAAATCCGTTGTGTACTCTTCTAATGGCGCATGACCAGCAAGTGTTGCAGGTTTGTCTCGACGCGCTTAACAACCTACTCAAAATGGCACAACAGTCCACGAATGATCTGGGTGTTGCCCGACAGATCGAGGAATGCGGCGGCTTAGATCGGATTGAAGCTCTTCAAAACTCGGAAAACGAAGAAATCTACAAATTGGCATACGACGTGATCGATCAGCATTTTTCCGAGGAAAATGATGAGGATCCTCGCTTGTTGCCCGAAGGAGGTTCTCAGGCCTTCCAGTTTGATCCTTCCGGCGGGCTGCACGCCACCGGATTCAAATTCTAGCGTGAAAGCGTACGCAGTTCCGGTTAGGCTAACAAACTTGAAACCGTCTAACCATTTGCCACCCAGTTAATTTCGAAAGCAGAGATGAGATCACCAGGGAGTAGAATAATCGTTCGCCTCTCGCGTTCTGCCAACTGATGGGTGCCGAGTATCATGTCAGTCAACAAACGATGGGCTGGTAAATGCTCTCGCGCTCTTTTGTTTAGCGTTTAGTGCAACAGCAATCAGCTGTCACCGGTGTCGCATACGTGCTTGCATTAATACGCTTTGCTGATCGCTCTGATAAGCCATGCAGTTTCAACGGCGGACGTACAGACATAAAATAAGGCCGACAGGCACAACGCCAGGCGGCGGCAACAACTGAAGACGCAGAGAATTCGACAAGAGGGAGAAATAGATTTAAGTCGAAGCAATTGGATCTATTGCCGAAACGTTTCAATCGGACTCCTCAGTTCATTCTGCCGAAAGCCTATCTAACCCCCGGCACGCTAGGTGGGGTGTTCTGTCGAGCAACGAGTAGAAGCCACAATCCTAATGCCATCGTCAGTCGGAAGACACCAAGCTCCCAATTCTAGCCAAATACACTGAATACAGTAACGTTTAACTCGGCAGGACTGCGGCTTTTTCCCTACACTTGGGAATCGATATTACTCTACACATAATGATGTAAAAACAAAAGCATATAGTGTCACCACACTTGCTACCACTACCCCACAAAACAGTAAATCAAGGGCACTCCTGGTTAACTGCGTAATGGGATGTCTTATCATCTAAGCGCTGCTATCCATACGCGAGATGGGATAAAGTATGCGAAAGGTTAATGACAGCAGCAACAATAGTAATAGAGAATAAACTCAAAACTAGAAAAAGTCCCTGCTATGTACAGTTAAACGTTGATAGTATCGAAAAAAAGTAAAGGAAACGAAGAGGCGAAGAAATAAACAAAACACATTAATGGCAACTTTATAAAGTTGGATTTACAGCCATTTGGTAAAAATCACCTGCAGCTGCAATTTTTTGGTGTGGGATATAGGTTACAGCGGTACAACTATTGATTTGGAAAAATGAACTCGCGCTCAACAAAAATACACCACCATATAACTCGGCTGCAGATGCAGTTTGTCATCTGAGAAGTGTATTCATATTAATATAATTCTTTAAAATAGTAATAATAATTATAAGAAGCCGAAATTGTGAATCGTTAACGATATTCGTGAACGTTACAGTGAACCAACGCGAGAAAACGAAGTTGTGGTGACTTTGTACAGTAAACGGAGGTGATGACATATAATTACTGAAGTGTAAGAGTGGTAATTATTACTGTACAATGACTACTATTATTATTATTACTATTATCATTATAACTAGAGCTAATTAACAGATTAAGACGAATGATTTAAGAAAATCAATGATAAAATGATGGCGGCAAGGGCAGAGAAGATGTGACTGAGAAAAACGCGAGTAAGGGCGAAACGCGAAAAGCAACAGTGGCGACGTCTTTTCTTCAAAATTGTCGGAGGACTAACTCTTCGAGGCAGACTTCCCGTGGACAGCTGCTTGCTATGGCATAAATAGATATATACATATATATAAATATATATAGATAGTATAATACTGGCAAGATGGGGGGTGGGAAGATCGGGGGCAGGGAATAAAGAAACGACCGGTGATGTCGATGATTTAAGACGCTGAATGAAAACGAGGAAGATAACGCTGGTAAAAAGCAATTTTGTATCTTAAAATGTTAATAAGTTATGTTATCAAAATATAATGCAAATAAGGTGATCCCACAGACCGAGCGTCTCTTTCTTTTAGATATTTATCAATATGCAGATCTAGGTAAGTGTCGGAAATGCTTAAGTGGTGAAATTATCACATTTCAGTTTAGACGTAATTTTCCTTGACTAAAATCCTAACTTATTAACTTATAGATAAGTACAAACCGGCATTGCTGAGGAACAAAATTGCATAAACATTGAAAGCAAATACGTAATATTACTTTCGTGTACAAATAAGGCTGAAATTTTGCATGTAGATAATAGCTATATACACCATATGGAACCATGCTTAGCACTAAACTCGTAAAAAACTAATTTTAAAAGCTCAAAACAGGGTAAGAGCGATAATCATATTATCAGACCAGAGTTAAGCTAAGTTAGGTAATTTCATTTTCATTAAGACCTACATTTATACAAGCATGCTTATATATTGAATGCAACAAACCCCTTCGCCAAGTTTTTACTGTTGATTATTATAGCTTATCTGAAAACAAATCCAATTTGAATATATTGCTATTTTCTTGAAAACCAGTTGTTTCAGCCAGCTCGATAAACATTTAATAAAGGTAAACATTTAAAAGACAGAAAACAAAAGTTTCTGGGTAATATAATACATGGTTATTGAATTTGATCTATTTTGCTAGCGCTATTCATACTCCTGTAATGAAAATGTATACAGTCACTAGTGGAACTAGTACAAAATAAGTATTGATTTTTCTGTAATCATTAAACGATTGACTAGGAACAACAAGTGCTATTATATTCGCTTCGAGCTATAGCGAAATCCCTAAGAGACACTTTGCACATATGCAACTAAAACTACCTCTTTAAAGGCTACACTTACTATTATTAGCGACTTCAACAACCTAATAACGCATCTGGATGCCGTATGAAATGTTGGAGCTGTTTATTTGGATGCTTATGTCTTAAACAATAAGCCAAAGAAATTACGAGTGGAATGAACCTCAAGCAATGTTGCCGACGAAGTTTAAGCAACTGAGGCAAAAATGAATCACTATTGAATCAATAAGCGCCGACATGATCTATATGAAGAACATGGAAGTCATGTGAGAATGATTTGATGTGCAGTATGAAACGCTGAAATGCAGGTATTACCCCAATCAATACCTAGTGCTCGCAATAGGTATAAAAGAAATACTTTGATCATATTTATATATATGTCAATTAAACAAAACAAGGCTTTATTCCTGCAGAGTTTAAAAAATTACATATTTAAATTCTACAAGATTCTAAACCTCATCATTTTCTCTTAGGAGGAACTTCTTGGAGAATTTCGCCTAGTTTAGATAGTAACTGCTCTTCGTTTAGAAGAAAACTGCTGTCGAACCAAATTTGACGCATGCGCGTCATGACCCAACCAACCTGAAAGCAAAGGGACGACTTAGTACCGTAAGGTTTATGTATTTCTAATTATAAATTTTTACTTATATTTATACAAAAAATCTTATATCCTAACTGTATACATAGCTACATCAGCTACAAATCTCCCGGGCGGAAATTTTTTTTGGCGGCGTAAGATTACGCAGCCGTATGGCTACTCTATGTAGAAGTGAAGGTATGTCATAGTCAATACACTCCTGAATAAAATGATTTTTGGGAGTACATAAAGCAGTGCTCAATCGAGATAAGTGAGTAAATCGCTTATTTAAGTATAGTTCTTGTTGCTACATTCAGTAGGTAGCAGGATAGCAAATTAAGTAGTGTATTGAAATGGAAATCAATTTGATTGCACCTAGTTACTTTACCTTTGGCCCTTTTTGTATTCCCAGTTCTATAAGTTTGTGGCCAGTTACGGGGAAACGCGGTAATTTCCATTCACGAAACTTTTGCAGGAGATCTTTGTTGCCATGATATTTTAAGAGCTCTTCTGTCCAGTACCAAACCTCTGTCATTGATCCACCTGCAAATAATCAAATGATTGAACTCAATTTACTTATAAGTCAAATAATTGAGAACAATTATTGACAAAAATAAGCCTTTCCAAGTGTGATGGCATCGTAACATTTAGTTAAAATCGTCTTTCCTGTCTAAACTGTTTATACATTATAGCACCGATTCCATGCGGTTTTTAAGCAGAATGACTCGAAGCTCAATTACGGCCACATTCATCTTTTTCTAAACACGGTAAACACATTATTGAGTTTATGGTTTTTGGTGTCCAACATATTGCACGTGCAGGTCAATTTACCCATCATTTTGACTAGTAATGCGACGACGTTTATACATCAATATAAGGTATTGTCCCTAATTACTCATAATACAAGTCGCTACTATTAATTAGTAGTAGCCGCTGCATTAAGTAAGGCCTCTTAAGCTTTTCTTAACGGCTATATAAGAGCTCATTTTGTTATCCGATTTAAACTGCTGATCGTTTGCACGAACCCTCTTAATAGCATAGTAGCAGTGACCTTCTCCTAAGCGCTAGAAAGAAACGTCAGCGTGTACCTTTGATGTCGCATGTAAACTGAAGTGTCTGACAGAAACGCAGATCGTCATCAGTGGAGCCTTTCGGTGCTTCTGGGCGGTAACGAACTAGAAATAGTAGAAGATTACGCTCTGCATTCGATAAACGCAGCCGGCCATGCACCGCAAGCACCTAAGATCGTCAAGAGAAAAATAAATACGTAATATCTTATACTGCCAAAGGAGTTCCGAGTTCGAAAAATTGTGACTTTTGAATAACTGTATTACATAAGCGAGTATGTGTGCGTGAGACGAGCACCTAACCCATCCGTACGCACATCCACTTTGAGCTCAAAACATTATCGATGGATCCAAACACGCAAAAACTTGAATTATCATTAACTTGAATTTACATTAGAAAGAAAAAAATCTATGATGTTGCCGCCGTCGCCAACACGTATATATAAATCTCTGAGCTACCATTATATTATAATATCTGATTTCGTGTTTGTTTGCTTACGTCATCTTTGGAATGCAATAGGCCCGCAAGTCGTGTCATTACTGCTGGTTGTAAGTTTTCAGACTGCTGGCACACTTTCCGGAACTCAGCTAGGTCGGGTGTTTTCGGTAGTCCTAGGTAAGGTGTCACGCTCAACTCATACATTAAACATATCAACGGGCAGTACAAAGGTCCTTCCAGTATTTTACGAAATTCTACCGATAAACGTTCACCAGAAACTCCCTCCAGGCCGTTTGTGTTCAGTCGAATCGCTTCCAGCGTATCCGGATCATGGGAGTTTTCATTCAAAGCCAAACGTCCGTAAAACCTAAAATTAAAGAAAGAAAGTAAACAGGCAACACTCATATATAATAATGAGATAATAAATTACGTATTATTCTCCAGTTCATCTTTATGTAATAACCACTTCTTAAAATAACTGCAATAATATTTCATAAGCTCTGATCGTAAAGCACGTGCTCAAGCAGATGGCTGATTTGAAATATAAATTTTATTAAAGGGAAATGTAATAAAACGATTAGCAACCACTTCATGCTTCATCAAGCTCACCGGAAGTATCTAAGGATACGAAGGTAGTCCTCCTGAATCCGGAGAGCGGCATCACCTACAAAAAGCACCTTCCGCTGTTTAATATGTTCAATTCCTTTAAAATAATCGTAAACAACACCATCAAGGGATAAAAACATTGCATTCACTGTCAAGTCCCGTCTGTTCGCGTCCGTTTGCCAATCCGTAGTGAACTGCACCTATAACAACGCAACGTCATCATTACGCGATATTATTACGCGCAGTTTATTTACTTTGGAATAATCCGCGTATTGAATGCGAAAAAAAGTGGCTGTGTAAATAATTGAGTACTCTGATGAAGCTTAATGCTAATATCACTTGCCTCAGCATGTCGGCCGTCGGTAATAACATCAATCCGTAACGTAGTAACCTCGAAATTTTCCTTATCGTTGATTCTAGCTGTAATCGTGCCATGCTTTTCACCGTTGGTGTTGATCATGCGAATATCTTCATCAGTAAATATCCGTTTCATTTCGTCAGGCGTTGCTGTCGTCGCGAAATCGAGATCGTGTGGAATAGTATTCATTAACAGATCGCGAACCGCTCCGCCTGCGATACGAAGTTCAAAACTATAGGCGAAGATGTAGATGAAAATTTTGTTACAATTCGTTGCCTACGAATAACTTTTCCTTGCTCACTTTTTGTAGTTCAACTAATTACCATAGCTCGAAGCTTCATTATAACCATTTACAAGTATATCGTTGAACTATGTTTAGATGAGTCAAACTAACAAGCTTTCAAAAAATAGTAAACAATAAAACGATGCCTGTACATAAGAAAATATACGATGAAACCTGAACAATCTTGAGCCATACTGCTGCAAACAACTGGTACTTACTTATTTCTTCGGAAGAGTTCTTCAAGGATTTTCATCTCAGGAGTGATAATACTCTTAAACAGGTCGTTACTAATCTTCATTGTTCGTAGTTCACCAGCTAGGGGGGCCATTAGATCTTTCCGTATTAGTTTTATACAACGGGCGCAGCCTATCTGAATGAGGGATGACCACAGTGGTGGTGAAACTGCGAGAAGCGACAGCGAAGACCGAAGCAACATCGAATCCCCGGGTGTGAGTAGCAAGGGAACAAAGTCCAGACACAGCTTGCAAACTAAGCAGTACAGCATGTATAAAAGCTCCAGTTAACCATGAATGCCATGGACAATGAATAACCAAAATAAAGAAAAACATTGTTTTTCTTTATTTTGCTTCAGTGCTTTATTCTTACAAGTCGATTTCTTTTTGTACAGCAATAAAATCTCTGATTACAGGATTTGAAGTATGCTTTCTTCGCTTAGGTACCACAAAAGAAGGAAGACCTATAGGTAAAAAAAATATTACCAAAATTAAAAAAATAAACTCAGTATTTTCTCACACATCTGGTAATGAAACCAGCAGTATTGCGTAGCAGAGCAAAATAAGTTTCATCTGTGACAACCCAGGTTCGGCTGGACCCATAACCACTAATTTCCTAGTGATACTTAATTTCTTACACATGTGCCATTGGAGACAGTTCTAAGTTGGCGGTCAGTGTGTTTTGTCGTTACTGCTCGTATTTTACTTTCATTGGGAGCCCTTATTGAATAATATTGCAGCAAACAGAGCAGAACTCCTAAGTCCATGTTATTTGCCTGCCAAAACATTGAGTTGTCTCGGTACCATGCTTTTTTTTCCCTAAAACTCTATAAGCAGTTAAAACGGTCATAGGAAATCGTAAAAAAAATTGAAGCTAGATCCTCACTAAGCTTAACTTTAGATGTGAATGATGGTAAAACACCGCCTAAATGTCTTAAGTTTTACGCCCGACATCGCCGTTAGACGTTACCTCTGACACCTGGCTCCCAGCGGAGTATATCTTCGCTCGGATCCAAACCTAAACTGCTACGTATCCCTAAGCTTAAGCAGGCAAAGACGTTACCCACTAAGTTCTCACGTGGGTGAAAAACTACCCAAACCGCGTCTGATATCAAACGAGACTAATCTCCACAACTTTTGTTTACTGTGAACACCTCACATTGTCGGACGTCATGCACATCTCTCCGAGAACTCTATTATGTAATAAAATTAACGAACCTAAATAACGTTCATCTAAAGTCACTTAACTGATTTCAGATTGACAATATGCTGTTAACCTTTCACAGGATGTTCATGTTCTTTTTTACAATACATCTATTTGCCGGCGCGCATTCCAGCACAGATCGATTTATTTGCAGACAGTCTTGTATACATTATAAAGGATAACAATAATATAGGCGAATAGTAGCGGATGGATGGATACCTCCGCTGCCGCAGAACGACTCAATATAATTAACGAATGAAAGCATCTAAAAGTGACTCGTTTTTCTTTCGTTCTCGATCACGACAAATGTTCACTTCAAATTTCAACGGTTGATATGTTGTTTACGTTGGACTTATCGCCTTTGCGTGGCAATGAAACGTAATCAATATGAAAAAGACAATAGCCAAGAGCAGACTAACCGGACCGCCCGCAGCTATGTGTTACTCGTAACATAGAGAGAGATCATCGTCAACAATGTTGTGCATTCCCCACAACATGGCCGGTGAGTGAAATTCGACTTTTGAAACGTTTTCAGATTACGCGGTCGTGCTGAGAGCGATTCATCATAGTTCTCACCGTGGAAGTATCACCATAGAGTTGAGCCGAAGCCATGCGGCTGTGCTATTGTCAATAGTGCCCTACGAACTTGTGCGTCCAAAGGCCAAGTCCATCTGGATATGTGAAACGAAGCTTAGCACATATAGCAAAGATCAAAAAAACAAGAACAATTTTGCCTAAACGTATATTATTATTATCGTTATTGTAGCTGACCTAGGTGCATACGATTGCATGCAAATTCAGTGTAAGGGATTGGCATCTGCAATACTCTATAGCAAGCTTACTGTAAGCACCTTCTAAGCGCAATGCCCACGTCGGGTTAGTATAACAGAACTGATTTCGTCCTTACCGAGACCCTTTTAATTAGGACATAAACAATGATGGTTATGATGCTATTTTTAGATGGTTCAACTGACTGTTTAGATAGAGTTTTTCAGAGGCTATCATCTTCGGCGATTACTATTGTCGCCCGCGATTAAATAGTTACATAATGCCTTTCTCTATGGTCTGTATCAAAGCTAGACTTCTGCTAAGTTAGAAGCGAAATTCGGTGTAGAGATCAACAGTGTTAGTGTTTCAGCAATCGTAGAAGTACCCATGTTAAACAACTGCCATGCACTACATTCTGGGTGTGTCTGTGTGTGTGTGGTGTGCACTTTACGTGATGACCATCAACTATGTTTTAGATATAGATGAGGAATTGGCGCGGATCCAGGCGGCCAAAAAGAGGTTGGCTGATGGGACTGCAGATGGAGGGGTGCCCCTTGGAGCGGGGGAGCACACCCCTTATATGGACCGACAACTTTATAATTCGACAAGCAAGAATAAGTTTGCCGGATATGTTACCTCTATACCAGCTAGCGACGACGTCGACGCCGATGTAAGTACTATTTACGCATATAGTAGAACCTTTTTTCTCATAACGCCAGTGTTTCAGGTTTCTGCTCAGATTGTCAGCCCATTCATCGGTGAATCGAGCTTTGTCGTTTGTTTTGCATCCTACGAGACGTTTTAGCTCCGATTTTTTACTCACTGGTTTTAACATAGCCCCAATGACCTCTTTGTTTTCAATTCAATAAACGAAAAGGATGTAATAACCATAACTTCTACGTGCTGTATCCGAATCGCCAACTAGATTTAAAAAAGACGTTTTTGTATAAATAGGCAAATATTAAACAACTACAGCAACGAAATATCACTCGGTATTGACGATTGGCTCTGAGCGGACATCGTGTTTTGCTTCCGCTAAAGAAGCCGATCCTTATTCAAAGTTAACCTTTGTCGGGTTGTAGACTCTCGATTGTATTCTAGAGTATGCCCCGAGAACAAACAGCTGTCAGAGTTGTACATGCACCTCGGCAAGCGCTAGTTATTCTTAAATTGCTCTACTGTTTTTAGGCTTGGCGGCGCCGTCTGTTCACAAGGAGCCTAATGACGCACCGGATGCGCGGGTACAGACTTGATTCGACTGAAGGTTAAGCAAGTTGAAATCTTCTTGAAGATCTTTTACGTTTTTCGCGAGCGTTTGCCAATCGAATTGTGTAGTCGCCATCGTAGAGCTGATAACTGATTTCATCATTCGGTTCATAGAAGAAGCTATTTATGGGCCTAAGAGAAGACTTTTACTCTGCTGCAAAATGTTGCTACTTTAAGTTCTTGTTAGGAGACTTATGTCTCTCATAGAGCTGGTCACTTTTTTGGACCCTTATTTTTCAGAGCATTTAAAAAAAAGAGTTAGCTAATTAAAGCAAGAATAATTAGCTGATCATCATCTTTAGCGTTACAAGGATTCCTTTTGAATGCGAATGTAAGATGTTGATAAAAACGGGAGTGCACAAACTAGTCTCACCGTAACGCCATACATCATAGTATGCTATAAACCATTAAAGTTATGTACAGCCTCAATTCGCCATATTGACATTTTTTTTTCGGATGACTTTTGCAGGACGACGATATGGAAGCAGGTGGAGGCGATCCTGTGGCTCCGCCTCGAAAGATTAATGCACAGAAATTCCTTGAAGAAGTGACGGACAAGGGTTATGATCCGTTTGCTGACAAAAGAGTACCACGAATCGCCGATCGAGAAGATGAGTACCGTGCTCAACGACGAAACCGACAGATCTCGCCTGAGCGAACAGATCCGTTTGCCGATGGAGGCAAAACGCCGGATATGCAGTCAAGGACGTACGCTCATATCATGAAAGAGCAGGCCGTTCGCAGAGACGAAGCAGATCTCAAGAGAAAACTACAAGATAAAGACAAGGCCGGCGAACTACACGTTAAGAATGGGGCAGAGGCGACTGAAAAAAAACGGAGAAGGTGGGACGTCCAAGATACACCGTCCACCGGACCAAAAAAACGACTAGCAGGCTGGGAGCAAGCAGAAACACCGTCCCACACGCCATCGGTTCACACTGCACAAGGAACTCAAGAGAAGTGGGCTGAGACTCCAGGTCGTTTACCCATGGGCGCTGAGACACCTGGTCACGCTAATCGCATGTGGGAGCCCACACCCGCCCATCATACGCCCGGACACGCTACGCCTGATGCCGAAACCCCTGGTCACAAAGCTTCAACCCGGAGAAATCGCTGGGATGAAACGCCACGTACGGGTGAAACACCAAGCCATTCGGGGTGGGCAGAAACTCCTCGTGTAGATGGCGCTGTCGATAAGGTTGAAGCCGCTGCAGCTGCCACGCCAAGTGCAGCCAAAAGACGTTCTCGATGGGATGAGACACCGTCGGCGACCCCGTCGATGACACCATCTGGTATGGCAGCCACGCCATCAATGACTCCGGGTCAGATGACACCTGGCGCTATGACTCCGTCGATGACGCCGTCACAAGTGTTCACACCCAGTGGTACAACACCCATCGGTGCTAAAGCGGCTGCCATGCAGACGCCGGCTGCCAATATACCGATGACGCCAGAGCAAATGCAGATATTCCGCTACGAAAAAGAAATCGACGAGCGTAACAGGCCCATGACAGATGAAGAACTTGACTCGCTGTTTCCACCAGGTTACAAAGTCTTGCCACCACCTTCTGGATACGTGCCGATTCGAACTCCTGCTCGGAAACTCGCAGCAACCCCAACCCCTCTTGGGGGCCTGGGGGCTGGCGGAGGCTTCTTTTTCCAAAAGGATGAACCCCTCAAAGTGGTAGATGCTCAGCCCAAGAGCGCCTCACTTCCGCCCCTCAAACCGGAGGATATGCAGTATTTTGACAAGTTATTAACCGATGTCGATGAAGAGTTATTGTCCCCAGAGGAGTCGAAGGAGCGCAAGATTATGACATTGCTGTTGAAAATCAAGAACGGAACACCACCTATGAGAAAGTCAGCTATGCGGCAGATCACAGACAAAGCACGAGAGTTCGGGCCTGGCGCACTTTTCAACCAAATCCTACCTCTCCTTATGAGTCCTACGCTGGAAGACCAGGAAAGACATCTCTTGGTCAAAGTCATTGACCGGGTTCTTTATAAGCTTGACGATCTTGTTCGGCCCTACGTGCACAAAATTCTTGTAAGTACTAGAATTTTATTTTTACGATGGAACTAACTAGAAAGTTAGCATCAGGTTTTATTTCTGTATCTGTATTTTATGAAGTCTGTCTGCATACGGATTTGTTCAATACAACAATTGCATTAGTTAATAATAAATGTACGCTGCATTTTTTGTGTTTCTTTCTTTCGTTCGATCAGGTGGTGATTGAGCCTTTGCTTATCGACGAAGATTACTACGCGCGTGTTGAAGGACGAGAAATTATTTCGAATTTAGCCAAAGCGGCAGGATTAGCAACGATGATTTCCACGATGCGACCTGACATTGATAACATTGATGAGTACGTCCGTAACACCACGGCACGAGCCTTTGCAGTCGTCGCCTCTGCACTTGGTATGTATTAACCTTTAAGATTTCTTATCTTAACACTGTGAACAAACGTTTGTGCATCTGCGAATGTCCCGGTATTTGGTCTGACACACTCATCTCTTGTAAGTCCAGTTTTCTTTTTCTATTTTCACGATGAGACCTAGTAATGATGACAACGTTGAACAAGTTATGTTTTTAGGCACCTCAGAGTTCAAGTGAGGCGTTGCTCTCGGCAATATTATAGTCTTGAGATGAGATTCCATTTTCAACCCTTCCCTTTTGATATTAAATTTCTCCCAGTATGTCTCCATCTCGCAATTCTTTGTTATACATGAATATATCACAAATATGCTGATCGATGACAAAATTCAACCACTATATGAACTACTATACTATATATATTCTATGTTTCCAATCTACGTATCTGTCTATGGACAAAATACAACCCGATAGTAACATGTGTATATCTTATAGCAGCGATAACGGCTTTCGCTTAGCCGTTGAGTTCCCCGGCGCGTTCATTGTGAGATGAGACCGACAATGTCACGGTAATGTATAACAAAACCCAAAAATTAAAAGAGGACAAGGTTACACAAAAAACGTTTGCGTGGACTGGGCATCGCCCTACCGTTTTGTTACGTTTTCTAATTCGCTATGTCGCTGACCACTAATACGGTCATTCAAGCGCTGTACGCGCCGAAGCGAGTCAAAAGACGGGCAGACGGTAGCTTTCCCCCAAGTCCTAAAAGTCCTCCGCATTAATGTCGAATTGATTAACCCTTCCGATTTGCATTTCGCCATTTTGGCCGTTTGTTGTCGTGTCAACTTCAGGCATCCCAGCACTGTTACCTTTTTTGAAGGCTGTCTGCAAATCGAAGAAGTCGTGGCAGGCGCGCCACACGGGCATCAAAATCGTCCAGCAGATCGCCATCTTGATGGGCTGCGCGATCCTTCCCCATTTGCGGTCGTTAGTTGAGATTATCGAACATGGACTTGTTGACGAACAGCAGAAAGTCAGAACTATCACAGCGTTGGCATTGGCCGCCCTGGCTGAAGCTGCCACACCTTACGGTACAATAGTTGTTGTTTTTATTGATTGATGTTAGTGATGATTCTATGCTGTTATCTATGAGGCTCTATATAAAAGAACGGATATCTGTTTTTGTTATATTCATGTATGCTTTCTCTTTATATTTTAGAAAAATCTCCACATTAACGTTACTAGTTTTTAGGTCTTGCCATCAAATCTTGATCACGTTTTCTCGATGGAATCTCCAAATTGTCATCCTTTTCCTGATCAACAGGTATTGAAAGCTTCGATAGTGTTCTGAAACCTCTCTGGAAGGGTATACGCACACACCGTGGTAAGGGTTTGGCTGCCTTTTTAAAGGCTATCGGTTATCTCATCCCATTGATGGACGCAGAGTATGCTAACTACTATACCCGGGAAGTGATGCTAATTCTGATCCGAGAGTTCCAGTCTCCTGACGAGGAGATGAAAAAAATTGTGCTCAAAGTTGTCAAACAGTGTTGTGCCACTGATGGTGTGGAAGCACAGTATATTAAAGATGAGGTATTGCCGCACTTCTTCCGACATTTCTGGAATCACCGTATGGCCCTCGACAAGAGAAACTATAAGTAAGTCATGTTTTTCATTTTATTGCAGAAGCCTGTGCTTCTAAGGCTATACCACTATATAAAATATATATATATATATATATATAACGATTTAAAAATCTTTTACGTTGTGTACAAAACTAGCCAAGGCGTGCATATAATGCCATTGCTTTTTTAACCTATTTGGTCCTTGTTCACTTTAGGCAACTGGTGGACACAACGGTTGAAATTGCTAACAAGGTTGGCGCTGCCGAAATCGTCAACAGAATCGTAGACGATTTGAAAGACGAAAACGAGCAATACCGAAAAATGGTTATGGAAACTGCTGAGAAAATCCTTGCTAATCTTGGTGCTGCCGAGATCGATTCGCGATTGGAGGAGCAATTGATCGACGGTGTTTTATACGCCTATCAGGAGCAGACCTCAGAAGACATGGTCATGTTAAACGGATTTGGCACAATTGTAAACGCTCTCGGCAAGCGTGTTAAGCCTTATTTGCCCCAGATCTGCGGTACCATTTTGTGGCGTCTAAACAACAAAAGCGCTAAGGTACGCCAACAGGCCGCTGATCTAGTCGCTCGTATAGCAGTCGTGATGAAGACATGCCAAGAGGAAAAGCTCATGTCACATCTTGGTCAGATCCTTTATGAGTATTTAGGAGAGGAGTACCCGGAGGTGTTGGGTTCGATTCTCGCGGCACTAAAAGCAATTGTGAATGTGATTGGCATGTCGAAGATGAACCCACCCATCAAAGATTTGTTACCGCGTCTGACGCCTATTCTTAAAAATCGCCACGAAAAGGTACAGGAGAATTGCATTGACCTAGTCGGGCGTATTGCTGACCGTGGCGCTGAGTTCGTGTCCGCAAGAGAATGGATGCGTATCTGTTTCGAATTGCTTGAATTGCTCAAAGCTCACAAGAAGGCGATTCGGCGAGCAACTGTTAACACTTTCGGTTACATTGCTAAGGCTATCGGCCCGCATGACGTTCTCTCAACTCTACTGAACAATTTGCGTGTACAGGAACGTCAGAATCGGGTGTGCACCACCGTCGCTATTGCAATTGTGGCTGAGACCTGCTCGCCATTTACGGTGCTGCCAGCATTGATGAATGAATATCGTGTTCCCGAAATGAATGTACAGAACGGCGTACTCAAATCTCTGTCATTCTTATTTGAGTATATTGGCGAAATGGGCAAAGACTACATCTATGCCGTGACACCACTATTAGAGGATGCCTTAATGGATCGCGACCTCGTCCATCGGCAAACCGCATGTTTTGCTATCCAGCATATGAGTCTGGGCGTTGTTGGTTTCGGCTGTGAGGACGCGCTTACACACTTGTTGAATTATGTGTGGCCGAATATCTTTGAGACGAGTCCCCATCTGATTCAAGCGTTCCATGGCTCCGTCGAAGGTATGCGGGTAGGACTTGGGCCAACTCGTCTGTTGCAGTATTGTTTGCAGGGGCTATTCCATCCGGCCCGAAAGGTACGCGACGTTTATTGGAAGATCTATAACTCTTTGTACATTGGCTCGCAAGACGCACTGGTGGCAGCCTATCCACGGGTGCCGAACGAGCTCAATGGTAATCATTACGAACGATTTGAGCTAGGTTATGTTCTCTAGACAGTGGGAACGAAGGTAGAGCACAAATGCATAGTAAGCAGATATGCAGAGACGGCGCTTGATAAACTACAAACGAATGTTAACAATGTATGGGTCAGTCGTAGAAATGAGCAGAGAAATAAAGGAAATAGTTGCTATTAATAATAATATTAATAATAACAGTAATAAAAACCACAACAATATATATGAAAAACAAGTAGACAATGAACCAAAAGATGAAAAGCAAATGGCAAGCTTTGTAGGAGCGTGTCAAATTTGCGGGAATGGATAACATACAAATTTGGATTGAGCAGGACCTGGAAAAAAGACCGTGAAACTCCAGACAACAAAAACAATTAGGGATGCATATCGGTTAAAACAAAAAAGGCATCAGGCAAAGTGATCCGTAGTAGCGGCAAGGAATATGGAAGCACTAAACGGTGTGAGAAAAGTTGTGCGGCAGAACAAGATAAAGGATGGCAAATGCGTAAAGTTGGAGATGATCAACTATGCTTACGCGCGAGCAGAGTGCCTCTCGGTTGTAGCGTAAGACCGATATGGTATAGAGAACTAGGACCTTCATTGTTTACTTTATGTACCATAATAATAAAAATATAATAATTAATGATAAATTTAGAACTCAAAACATCTGTCGAGTGTATTGAAAGAAAAAAAATATGGAAATAATATGAATAATAATAAAAATCTCACGATATTTGTGTGATTACACCGTTGCGTTATGATCGTTTGTGTCAGTTTCATATTCTACAACGTCTATAATTCTAAAGAAAAGGTATCATTATAGCAAATTAGAAAAAATATTGGTACCTATAACTAGGAAGTCTTCAAGCGTTTGCTACGCGGTATAGTAATGTGGGATCTAAGCGATTGAAATAATACCATTACTGTATGCTATAAATAGTATCGGATGGGACTTGGTGAAAGGCTTAGTGTAGTTCTGATAGGAAGTTGCAGTACTCCTATTTTGTTCGCCTTAGCTGAAGTCGTCTTGAGGATCAGTGAAGAGCCATTATGTATTTCTGGCTGCATAAGTTTAAAAAATAATGTTTAACGAATCAGGTAAAAATTAGCTTAATTTGTAATAAATATTAATAAAAAATTAAAATAAAATAATAATACAATCATCTATGTATATATATTTCTACTTGATGGCTAGGGTCCTAGTGCTGTTACAATTATGTAAGACAAAATGGTTTGTTGGTCGGCCTGCAAAAATAAAATATTTCACAATGGAAGGCAGCCGGAATATAGTTATAATGTTTGCCCACAAAATTAGCTATTTGTGCGTATATTTGCACTCCTATGACGATAAATATTCAGTTTAGAATCCAAAAGGCTCTCATATGCAACGTCCCGGTAGTCGACACCTTTAATGTCACCTTCCCGTAGTTGATTTTCGAGGAAAACTTAGGTTTCGAAAACCTTTGAGCCTTGACAATGAAATATCTCGCCAGTGTTACTGAAAACAATCACGGGCGGTGTTCGGCAAGACTGCTAGCCGCAATCTATAGCCCTAAAGAGGAAGATTTTTTACTACGAAACCTGCTGATGGATATGTAGAAATGAGAAAGGGCCATAGTCGTAAATATCCTATCTCCAGAAGTAAACCCACCACTGGTAATTTGAAGCTTTTTTGACCTGCATGATTTTACTTACCCCTGATGTTGTTATGAACCCACAGCAACGCAGCAAATTTAAAAGACAAAAAAAGACTTTAAAATTGACTTTTCCAAGTAAAGTGTATCTTTCTATATACGCAAAAAATCCAAAGCTCGACAAAAAGTTCACATTAACAGCAGATTTTTTTATCATTATTGTTCATGTAAATCTCGGAATTTGATAAACTTCACGAAATATAAAATGGTAGTAAGACACTAAAATATAACATAAGTATCGTGGGATCGCTGCATGAATACCACATTAATAGAATGTATGGGTATACCCAATATAGTAACTACATATTCTATTTCTCACAGGTAATCTAATTTGGAATCTCTATACATATATATATCTATATGTTTTCCAAAAAAGCAAATATATAAACGCCATACTCCAAAGTCTCGATCATTTAGTGTTACATTAAAAAATGCTATAGTAGGTACAACTATTATAAATACAAGTATTCGTACAAGTTTTTCTTGCTTAAAGTTAGATTAAATTTTGAGGTGAATAAGGAACTGTCTGGTTTGATTTGAAGTACTCTATATGCTGGTAAACCACAAACGATCGATTTACAGAACACTTCATTCCTGTATATTAAAGCGTTTAGCGGGTCAAAGTCCAGACACATCGCTTATATGTTAAAATATGTAAAGCAAGCTGACAGCTAAGACTTAATGTGCGCAGCAGTTTTGGACTCTCCTCAAACGTATCGACAGCATCGATAAAGCCGCTATCTTCAGGATCGCAGTAACGCAAATATACTATCAAACTTACATCAATGGTGCCGTGCCAAAGACAAGCCTTAAAACTGTAATTCGTTACGATCTCCCCGCCATTTCGCTGAGCCACAGCGTGCCTCTCGTATTTTCGATTCTTAAGCAACCAAATTAGTTCGTTTCCATCCCTGGTTTGTTGGCTATGTAAAAAAGAAAAAATGATACACCTTGATTGTTCTATATAAATGTATATCATTTCTTCCGACAGATTGTGGGCTACAGGCAGGTTCCGTCAAAACAGGGCGAAACGTCCTTAAACGAAGCCGTAAACAATGTCGACTTGAACTGTTCTGTTACTAGAATTAGATTTTTAATTACTACAAACAGAAGAGCGACTACGACTATAATAATAATTATCATCAGTATACCTTACAAACGTACGCAGTTTTATGGCTGTATGTGTTACCTTTCATGCCCGACTTGGAAGACATCTTTAAACACGCGCTTCCATTCGCTGCCTCAATCAGCCTAATAAACCTCAACACGCTGTCTGAGAATGGGATTCATTGCCGTCTACAAGAATCTCTGGCAGAGGATGTAACTCCAATTCGATAATGCAGGTGAACTTGCTCATTTAATGAAAAACATGCTGGTTACTTATTCTATTCATAAAAGCTTTTTGAACTGTGTTGGATGTAATGTACGGTAATTTTCTACGGTAACGGCTAGTAATCCAGCAAAACATTGTGGAAATAAATATTTACATACTGTGTATTTTGGTGTTTAAAAGCTGACGTTTCATACCCTTCGTGTTATTGAATAACCAGAGAAGTGTACCATATTAAAACAATTAATTCTTGGGGATTATAAAAGAATGATAGATGTGCGGCTAGAGTAAGCAATTCCTCAGTCAACCGTGAAAGCGCTTCATGTACTAATGTCATATCTACGGCGGGTTTGTCTTGATACGGCTCATTTAAGCTCCGACAGTGCACTTAACTTTTATATGATTGTCCCCAGTTTTATCACGAGGGGGGGGGGGGTAAAATTCTTATGCGGTCCATAGGAACACATCGCCGTCAAACAACGCAGTACCACCTAGTTCGTCCTCGAATAGAACGACAGCTTGTCAAATTCGTTAGCCAGAACGATACTAATGCACGATGTGAGTTTATAATTGCACAGATTATTTCACGCTAAAATTGTGCTGCAACATTAAAAAATCATCATGATGAATGCTATTTATGCACTTTGTTCCCTAGAAAAGAATTAAGCTATGTTGAACACAGCATTATAGTAGGAGTGAATATACATTCAGTCCGAACATCTTTTCGAGAGTTTTCAGAGATGGGATTGGTTTAGATTATGAAAATACAAATTCGACCCTTGTCGTACGCATTTCCGTTGATCGTAGGATTATATTTTAGCAAACATCGATACTAGTTGAAGTTATATTATATATATGGTTTCAAATTCTGTTTCCTCATTTTTTAGATCCCAACCTTTTTAGGTATCCCTTTAGCAGTTGTTCATCACACAACTTTATTTTTAGACGATAAACTAAGCATCGCGAACATTAGGTACCTGGAGAACCTCCTTTTCTCAAAAAATCCGGAAACAAGATATTAATCAGGACTCACTTTTTCTGCTTCATCTGTTTTTGCCATTATAGTGCACTGCTCCTTATGTATTTTTGAGGTTCACAGGATATTCAGACCAACAAATTTGTGTAATTTTGTTTTTTCAACAATAAGCAAAAAGAAGACAAATTGTAGCATGTCAATAATTGAAAACAAGCCCAGCCTAACCACACGAAAATCGCTCGTGCGATTCTTTCTGGGATTGGTTAAGGCGCCACTCGCATATTGGAGAATGATTAGTCCGCAAATATCTAGTAAGAGTCGTCCCATTTATTCCAGAAGTAAAATCACCTGAATGAATAAATGAAAAAGTTCAATGTTTTATGATGACTCTTAGCACTGAATAAAGTGCTTTGTAGACATAGCTCAAAATTTATTTATTCGAGAGCAGAGAAAATACACACATTGAATAAAGCAATCATAAAGAAATAATTTTATTGATCTATTCTGTCACTCTGGTTATCCTGTTAATCTGAACTTACATTATAGCTTTTCATGATAATTAGACATTGCTTTGGTAATTCGTTTTGGCATTATATAAATTGTCGGGAAATTTTCTGAATTTTCGAAGTTTTTTGAATTTTTTTAGAAATGGCTTCCACACTTTTGTATTGGCCAGAATAATCTGTCAAAGAATCCGCAAGCAAGATGTTAGTCAAGATTCACTTTTTTTACTTCATATGTTTTTGTCATTATAGTGCAGTATGGATTAAAAACTCCAGGTGTTCGAGTGTGCTACTTTTCCTTGTTTGACCTCGTTAAACCTCTTTAGTGTTTAAAATTGCTGATATATATTCGAAAAAAAAGCCGTGTAATACAAGATATATGATTCAAATTGACCGGATCAACTTTGGATGTTCTAGGGCGGATGTAACAACAATGTCCATAAAGTACCAGAATTAAAATATATAAAAATTAATATATATAAAAAATATATATAAAAAAAGCAAAAACTGAATAGATGTGTATTCGCCGAATACAGTCATCAAGGGCCGGTAAATTAAAGTATGGTACAGACGGTTGTAGTATTGCTAACAAACTAGCAATAAAACGTGCAGGCTCCAGTATCTATTAAAAAGTATTAATATATAATATAACATACTTTGGTATGGAGCTGTCTATATTCTATGTATGCCTTTAGGACAATTTTGTGTTTTAGTATGCCTCCACCTGCAAATTATCTATCGGTATCAGTCAATTTAGGGTCAATTTAGTTGCAGCCGGCAAGTATTACGAAAGCAAGAAGTTAAAAGGCGCCAACTTATTTAAATTATTCCTCTTAAACTATCTAAAGTAAATCTGTGACTTACACGTCTGGTTTTCACTTACTGTAGCTATAGCTGACTTTGATCATTATTAAATTTTCTCAATCATACGTAATAATTTCAATGTTATATGCCCCTGTACTTCATAGAACAGCTTTAATGAAATCAGAAACACTGTTATTTCAACGCACAGTTAATTTCGTAAGTAAATAGAGCTTATGGCGTTACGAACTAACCTGTACTTAGCGATATCTACATTCATCGTGAATATAGGTTTGTAAGTATTGCATATTTGTTCGTTCCTTAGCGTACAATAAATTTTTTTAAGAGGGAAAATCTTTTTTCTATACTTGCAGTTAGAATTCCAGGTCATGTCAATAGGATTTTAACCAGCAGCTTTCGGCTCAGTTACCTTGAATCTGTCCATGGCGCTCAGGAGGGTGAGCGCCAATGCGTCTATTCAGCGCCAGATTGAACACTTGTTGGCGCCATTTCGGCTAGCGGCTTCAAGTTAAACTAAGGGAAGTCCTTCGTTCTAATTTCTTTTGTGAAATCTCGAAAACGTTTTGTGAAAAATGGGTTTTTATGTTTTTGGCACTCCCATATAACCTTAATGACGTGCGGTATTTTCAAAAAATAGTATATTTTTGCGTACAAAGTGCCGTTGTCGCACTTGGGTTGTGCGAATAAAACCTGTAAACCATATAAGACCGAGAGAATATCAATTATTGTTCTGCTAACTAAGCGGGTGTCATATCGCATCAGCAAAATGGCAAGACGCGATGGATTTAATGACTATATGGCAGGTAAGTAGTTCCGAACCAAACTAACACGAGCCCAATTTGGCTGTGATTTAATAAAGAAAAAAGTAATAAGTAGTTTTGTATCGCCTATAGCAGCACGGGACCATTTTATAGCGCCATATCAGCTGTAAGAACCTGTAACTATTTAGAAAAATCATTTTTGCTTTCTATCCTAACTAGCTATGTAATACTTACAGAATGAGCAGATGCATTCATTACTTTAATGTTTTCTAGTTATATAGCTTAACCCGACTCATCGTTAATATACAGTACAAAAAGGCGCAAATGCGAAAAGCGGCAAAATAAATGTTTAAACCTCAAAAGTAAATAGTATTATAATAAATAATAAACGAAGGCTTTTTCCTCATATCTATGCATGGTGGTATATATTATCTCATCAAAAAACTTATGTTCTAATTGTGTCCTAAAATGTTATTAATAACCTTTACGTGACCTATCGAACCAACTTCTTACAATCTAATGCGCACACTGGGTAAACCACTATCTAAAGCTACCACAAGTGAACGGATTTAGAATGAATGTTTCTTTTCAATTTTACGATAGTTGTATGAAGACACAGGAACTATTTTTAGAAAAATTCGCGTTGCTTTATTTAAATTGAGCTTGATAATAATAATAATTATCATTATTATAAATCAGCATCGTCAGACGATTTATAGTGGAATAGGTTACTAATCGTTCCAATACAAAATATAATAATATTATTGCGGTTGTGTTGAGTGTCACCGGAAGCCTAAATGAGGTATTTAGGATAAGGGCGAACTGATCTTAGAGACATCATAAAAAGTACACGACTGAATTTCCTAAGTTGAAAAATTATGACGATGTACAGCTATAAAGACTACAACGGGACGTCAAACTAACCGAAAAAATAATAAAAAACCTTCGTCTTTCATTATACAAACATTGTGGTAGATTATACGGACTATATTTTGATACAACGGAATATTCTCTCCGTGACGTATAAGTGACGTTAACCTATGTAGAACGTAAGCTACACCAACGTACAGCAGCAATTTGTGGTCAACTTTAATTTGTTCATATCAGGTCCAGACGAAATACTAACATAAGCTGAATTTGTCTATAGTAGATCACAGAGGAAGCACTATAAAGATTACCAGTTCAAACGAGTGAGCCTAGTTCAAATCATATAATCCAAATTGCATTGTACAAGTTTTTAGTATCTTAATATATTATCATCAGAGAATATGGGTTACAATCTTTTTTTTTAATTAAAGGGAAGACAATCTTTAATATTAACCAATTACGGATAACTGGAACTAATAGAATACAAACAGAGAGGAACTGATATATATGACTAATCATATGCATGCCCTTTTAGAAAAAGATACTGATAAAAACTGGAAAGGTATACACGTTTTTGCGATCGATAAAGCTCATTAATAGTAAGTATCTACGGTAGCTTCTGTTTTCGTAGTGCACTATTGCAGTTAAGCGTTTATACGAACGTTGATTTACATTTATTGGCTTTCTTATAAGGCTAAAGTTGAAAACCTTTTTTTTTTTTATGAAACGGTATCATGGTTTCGTTATTTAGCAGTAGTACTCATTTATTTAACTCTAAACACATACAGCTAATAATAACTAAGACCACGACCTACCTAAGATAACATTTGAACCTGCAAATCGGGTAATTTTTGTGGTACGAAGACTGTTATATTTTTTCATAATGTGGTCCTGTGTCAATGGCATGCCAGTATTGTCCGGGATTTGAGTTGCCAAGAGTCAAAAGGGAGTAAATAAAAGATGTTGTAACAATGTTCTCGATGCCTTGATAGTAAGGTTAAAATTTCTCAGCTTCATCGGAGTGAAAATGTATGGCATTAGTGAATTACTGGAATTTTTTCTTTTTCGATAGCGGCCGGATTCAACGAGAGCAACTCGTCGTCGTCCGATAGTTCAGTCAGCGTTCGAACAAGCCGCCAACAAGGAGTTTTTTCAACAAATTCGCAAAATCCTCCGAACCTCGAAGATATGCGCAGGAGACTAATGGAAAAGCTGTAAGTAGTGCTACTTTCTTGGGGTAGATTTTCTGACTTGTTTACCGTCATTGAAATGCAATAACACTTTTGGCGTACCTTCGAACTAGCGCAAACTAACTTTTCCTCATTTCAAGAATTCGGTGAACAATATGATTACTGCTTGCTAAAACTGCCCGTAAGCGTTTCCTTTTCCAGAGCGGCTGAAAAGAGCGGTCCCCAATCTCGGCTATCTCCATTGATGGATCTCACAGGCAATAGATCTGGGTAATCATTGGATTATCACGTACCACTCTACTAAGCAAAGATTAATATTTGTTTTTGTATTTATGTCAAAAACAGTTCTGGTATAACAAGACGTGTCTACTTATTAGAAATTTTACCTTCTTTAATGTTACAATTGAGTTGCATTTTATTGTCAGTAATTACGATAATATAAATAACATCTGTTTCACTTTCTTCTAATGGAATACTCAAGCGCATACTGACCATGAAACGCATAGGAGCATAGCTGATATTCGTGTGCGCAGTGTGCTGTTTTCACAGCTTTATTCTAATTTAACAGCAAACTAATAAGGTTCTTATTATTCATTCCTTTTAAGCAGTGCCGAAGCCTCTACTAGTACAGCGGCATCAGGCCGTGCTCTTCCTGATGATAGTAATCTATTACAAGTTTCTGAAGCACAGCATTCGTTACCGTCTATCGAAGTTACTCATCATGAGTAAGTTTCTTTCGGACTGAAAGACATCATGGTGAAGAATGGGGGAAGACCAGGTTTTTACGCTGCACCAGTATTATTCTACCAAATAGTGTACATGAATGTTGACGAAGGGTCTGATAGATCAATTATCATTAATAAGGTTTCTTCTTTAGAACTAGCCCTATAGACAGCCTAAACGTACTTAAACACAACCGACTAGTGGTTATCGTGTTGAAAAATGTAGTGTAGCTAAAGATTTTTTCATAAGAAGAGAGGCGTTACGTGAGCGAACACCTCAGGTATATGTTGAACGATACTTTAAGTGTGGGCTAGGCTTTGTGAGGATGACTGTAAAAGAAAATAGCCTCGAGTTAATAAGCCCTCAGGTTCTAAAATGAATTTGTTAATTCACCTTTTTTAACATATGCTAATGAGTTGAAACTATCGAGGCATTAATTCAGCCCAAATTGGTGCTTTGACCCCCTTTTAAAGAGTTTAGTCACTTCAAGGTCCCTAATCTTTCTATTTTTCCTCCCTTATATCATTTGAATGCCCTTCTTTTAATTCTTTCCTTACGTTCCTCTGGCTCCATTAGTACGTTTCGCTGCCTGGTGACTTCTACTCATACCGTCGGGTCCGTTGTCCACCGTTTAAGTGATTGTTTGCCTTTTTGCCTCGTTCAGAGTACCGCAAATTTATGCTCTAAGTTGTCTTTCCCTTCGGTGCCGCAGAGAACACATATGTCTATTTGAGCTCTTTCTATTTTTACCATGTAAGTTTAGAATTGTCCGTTACCGATCAAAACCTGCGTTACATCTTTGCGCCCCCAGCCATACCCGAAGACCTAGTACCAGGTTTTTGATCAAGCTTGCCTTGGCCATCCTTATAATCTAACCGTTCTCCAAACCTTCTGCCAGCTCTCTACAGCAGCTTTTGTGGCCATGATCGATTCCACATCATTGTTCAGGAATAGCGAGCTCCTTTTTCCGCCAGAAAATTCAACAGCGCCATTTTGGTTAGAACCAGAAGTGTGTTGGTCGAGACTGTGAAGTACGCCCGGCCGATACTGATCACCAGCGTCCTTTGGAATGACTTAAGTGCGTCCTTATATTTTGACAACTGCAATCTAATGTTTCCCCATATTAGTGTTGCGTATGGTGCTGTTGATTTCGCAATATAGGCTGGGAGCCTACGACGCTCGACCGACCCTCGGCAGATTTCGACTCAAGTTTAAGGCTACTAGCTGGGTTTCCGCCAAAACGCATTGATGGTGTGCCAGCCGGGTAACTCCAAGGTACTTTGACTTTTTCCTAACTTTTATTGGGTTGCCCGCTACCACTAGGTTAATTTCCTTTGTTCGGTTCTCGCCTATTAAATACAGCGCCTTCGTTTTTTGAGATGCCAACTGCAGACGTTTGCAATCCATTTATTGCACTATTTTTTCGAAGGTTTCATGGGACGCGTCCTCTAGATCGTTTTTTGTCCTAGCTGTGATTGTAAGCGTAAAATAATCGAATTAGGCTAACATTTCAATTCCTTCTGGAAGCTCTTACAGCTTTATTACTTCATCATAGTACAGATTTCAGGGCAGCGGTCCCTGTGGGACACCAGCAGTGAGCGTATACTTTTGCCCTCCAACCACTTGTCTCTAGGGTTTTCGTACATGATGAAATAATCCGGCAAAAATAGGGCGAGATGTCTTTTTTCATGAACACAACTATTATGACATCCTGATCTATACTACTGAAGGTATTAACGTCGAGCATATCCAAAAGGACAAAACCTTTAGTTTTAGGCGGCTTTTTGTCAAACCCATGTCCCGCATACTTTCTCGCATAGTAGTGTTCCGATCTTTGACTTATAGTACTCGAATCATTAGTTTGGTTTACGGCCTTTTTCTCCCATGGTTTTCCAATCCGAGTTTTCGTCTGTTCTTTGGCGTACGGGTCTCTTACTTTTCTTGATGTATTTCTGCTTTTCGTCGCACCGCCTTGATTTCCTTGTTGTTCTTTGAATCATTGTTTTCCGTTGTTTCCGTCGAGCTTTCCTTACCGTCCTTTTGTTTTATACTCATCCCCCTGTGTATTTTCTTATCGTTTTCCTATAGAATGTTACAATTCGTGCTGAAAACTATGGCACTAAAGGACAAAAAGCTTCTACGTTTGAAACAGATGAGCAGTTCAGCCCACCTTTCAGGTCTGCACCACCTCAATTTCAGAACCAAGGTTTTGTACCCAATGAGACTTTCGGCTACTGCATCAGGGACCGTTGCAATGCTCTTTCCTGCCTTGTTTTTAGTGATTTTCGGTTCAGTGGCTAGCAGAGAAAGAGCTGTCTGAATTCTTTTATCGGAGAGCGGGTCAGTTCCCCATAATACAGTTGTCTTGATGGACCCCGTCTTGGGACGCCCCTAAGGTTGGTCCCTTCTATGTTGACGTGCCGTTTGCAAGGTACTTGCAAAAGTTTTTGCCTTGTTGATCGGGGCTTCGATCATAGTCCATCTCCCTGTGCCGATTTTACTCATTTTCAGTGAAGATATTGAAATGGACATTTCAAAATAGACATTTTCAGTGTCTATTTTGTATCCTTCTTCTGGCTTTGAGCAGAGCTCCAATGCCTTCTTTTTCAAAGACCTGTAGTACATCTCGAGTGTTTTTTTAAACGCAGTTGTTTTTTATGTTTTGTAATGTGAATTAGCAGTTGGTTTCAATTTTTTTTTCATTCTAGTGCTTTCTCTACCACTGTGTGATACTTGGAATGACATGAAGTCCAGGTTGCCCTCCACGGGGTTTATATATCCCAGCCACAAAATTGCGTGTCGAGAATTCCTGGCCCCCGGACCTTTGGTAGGCTCCATAGCATCGGCGGTGTAAAAATTTATGCTATTCCCGCGTTTAGCCACATCACACACATAAAGGGGAATTGTGTGGCCATCTTTCTTTTTAGGGTAATCAAAGCTTGTCTATCCCTTGTTTTGCAAATGTTTTCGTGTGTGATTTTGGATTGCTGATAGATTTTTAGCAGACAATCTGCAGTGAATACCTTTAACTGCGTTCAAAATCTCTAGCTTTTACTATTTTATTTCACATCCCTGTTATCTTTTTTCTCTGATTCTCTCGTAGCAGGACTGGCACATGCTTTTTTAAGGTTCCTTCATTCATAGCTCTTTTTTACTGCTCCCTGCCGTTCTCAAACGATTTGTTGAGTTGCTCTATGTATTTTATGAGGCTATCCTCTGATGTCCACTAAGTATTTCCCTATTTCCTCTTTTGTTTCGAAGTCTGCTTCAACTAATTACCATCAACTATTATTATCAACCTTGACCTATTATTCAGTGTGGTTTAATATGGTTCTTCATTATGCCCTGCATGATTGCTATGACCGTCTAACTTGATAGTTGTAATTTTGCGTCCCAATATTATTTGTTTTGGCACGTTTGTCTGGGCTAGAAGTCGGATGACCGTCCGCACGCAGTCTCGAGTTTCTGTTCGAGACCAACGAGGGGCACCAGGAAGCGAGCTAACAATGAGCCCAAGGTAGGCGTTATTTGAACAAATGTATAAGGAGTGCCTTGCGAACAGTTTAATACAGTACCATTGGAGACAGTGGATATCAAGTAGAAAACATACAATGCACATCGAAAATTTCACCCGTAGCCATGATGTTTATTCTGGTAAATAGTTTCTTTGTCTAGGCCCGTAAGAGGGCTTTTTACTTGTTTGGGCTATCTGAAAGTCTTGCTGACTACTTTTGTTACACTGTCATGGCTTCATTCCTGTGCAATTAATTGGCTAAGTGTGTTCATTTAAGTAACCAAATCCAAAATTTTAATCAAATACCTGTTAATGTGGAGGAGCCAAACCAAAAATAATATTTTTTTACAAAAATCTTTACGAAGTTTGTCATGTTTTCAACGTGATCTGTTCTGCCTTTTAGGGATGGCGAGAAAAGGTTGCCAAAAGGTCCATCACGAAGCCCAAAAAAGTCTCGCAGTAAATTTTCTGCGACTGAAAGACCAACTACCCAAAGGCAAGTGAAGTTAAAAACTACCTGTGAACTATAATGCTGCGCTTGTCACACAACTAGATGCTACAAGGTACAACATTAAACCTCCTTAGTCGTAGTACTTTAATTATGAAGAAACAATACCGAAGGACCTGAACTTAAAAGAAGAAAGACTAATTCAGTCGCAATTGCAAGTCAGTTCGAAATTAACGTCGAGCTAATAACAGAGATGAAAGAACAGCAACTGCGTACATATTACAAATCATGGGTACTCAAAAATATCTGTGGTCATTTACAGGAACTTCCAAGTGCAAAGGAAAGTAGCTACAGATTATTCATGAAGAAGCTATGAAATACGGGATAGCAAGATAATTTCTTTACATATTAACGGAGACGGAATTATCTAAGATTACTTAATTGAGGTATTCAATAGATGTTCAAACGATAGATATTCAAAACCAATCAATCATCAAGCTTGACTCTGGTAGTAAGGTTTCCACAATGCAACTAGTAAAATTCCAAATTCTCGTCCTGATATTTCCCGATTTTTATGAAGTAATCTAAAATCTATAAGTGCAGATCGGGTGAAACCGTATTCATTGACGTTCAAGTATTTGAAAATCGAGCCGAATATATACTCTGTGCTATTCTTTAGCAAAGGACGTCGAAACGTATGTACATACCTAGATTGTTCTGATGTAGCAAAAATATCTCTGTATTTCTTTAAAAACGCTGTACCGTGTCCAATACAAACCACATGTTTTCAACCCCTTCTAGCAGATGGCACAAAATATAGAATTCTAGGACGTCGCCCTCGTAGGCATAGCAAACAATGCGTGGACATTTTGATACCGGTATTCGAACCTCCGATTTCGCCAGAATCCATCACAAATTCACCATGGCAGCTGTAGGTATTTGGGAAGAACTTGAATTTAGGTGGAATCACAATTCAAATAGGTGATGCGGAACCCAAAGTGACAAAAAAACAAAAAAGATGACCCCTAGTAATGAGATAATGTGGGAGAAGCAGATGGATAGAAGTGTATCGAGTCATGGGGATAACAATTAAAGTTTTCAAAAGGTATCTTCTGCGGATGTTTGCAAGGTTCAGCAGAAACGACAGTTCACACAATGAAGGAGCTTTTAAGCAAAGTGTTTCGCTGTTGATATCCGTGAAGCACTGCAGAATTCCGTGTGAGGATATAAAGCGGACTAACAAAAACCAACAAAGCCTCAGCGTAGCATGAGATTACATGCTTGAAACATACTATGCAAGGTGTTATAGTAGATACATGTATCTTAAAAATATAAAGCCTCATCGGTTAATGGTTAAGATCAGACAACGACAATTTTTTTTACTAAACATAAGTAAACCTTTTAGGCTATCTTAGAACGATGAAGTGCAGGTACCTACCTGGCTACTGACGAGGTGGTTTTTGCCTTAAGTTTCTGGCTGTAAAAAGACAAAGATGGCTAATTCAAACCCCATGATATGACACATCTCGAAAGGCTAAAGCAGAGATCTATAAGCCTCTAGGCAGCCTGCCGTAGTGAGCGCCTCAAAGTGCGCAGTCTACCCTATGAAGCCAGCGCTAAGCGACCATAAAATGCATGAATTCGCTATAAGTTCGACTACGATCATTGTATATTTAAGGTTGATGAGTACTGTTTTTAATTGATTAATTATATTTTCAGACCCGAATTCAATCCGAAAGACTACTCAACACCTTTCGTACACCCTGATCAGCGCGTTTCGCAAGGGTATGTGTCTCTGTTAAAGGAGTCAGCATAGTGTTTTGTATGCATAGTTTCGTAGGAATGTTGTGTGTTGTGTATTTCCCTGATACGAAATATTTGTTTGTTGCCGAACTCTTTCCAGAAATCGGCAGTCTATTTAGGCATTATGGTTCTCGTGAGTTATTGTAAACAGACTTCTTTTATTCTCTTCCGAAAATGAAGTTCTACTCGCTATTGTCGGATGGAGAATTGATTGATTTCAAGCTGGCTTTCCTTTTCTTATCCTGGCTTTGTGCACCTTTTCTACATTAGCAGCAGCAACAAAAAATATGGTCTACTCAAAAAATTTGGCTTCCTGTAGTGATACGCTCATACACTGAATCGATGCATTTCTTCGATGCCGATTCTGTACGATTATACGATATATGAACATATATTACATAGTACTCACAGCACAACCGAAACTTACAGGTTCGTTCGCGTACGTACGATTCTTCGTTAAACGCTATTCCAATTCACTTTTTAGATATTAAGCAAAAAGTACAATTGTATTTATCTGATTAACAAGAGCTGTCTAATTTCACTTTTTTTTTTATAACTACCTTGTATTGCAGGGATTCGGACAGAGACAAAACGTTTAAAGGCGAGTTCGCGTGGCCCTTGCAAATCCGTAAGCCTGGACCTAAAAGTCGCACTAGTGGTGCTATAGCTACACCCTCTCGAATGGAAGACACGCCGCAGTCTAAACAGGGACTAGATCAGCCTGAGGAGGAAGAGACACCTGCCAGCGACGAAGACGAAGAGCGTGCAAAAAGCCCTGCAGCGCCGACTCGTCCTGCCCGACAGGCCACCGTTGATCAAAAGTCATTGCCCGGGCCAAAGTCAAAAAAGCAACAGCAACAGAAGGCTTCTCATAAATCACCTGCAAAAAAAACTATTCCCAATAAAACAAGCTTAAAAAAAAGAGCGCCGAAGACCGCAAAAACCATTGCATCTGCCGAAGTGGGTGATGAAGTCGACGAACCAGCTTTGTTGGTAGACACAGATAATAAAGATGACGAGCAACAGGCAGAGCCTGCGCGGGCATCTCCTGTAAAAAAAACGTCTCGTCGAACCGAGACAATCAAGACAGTTGCAGCTTCTAAGACACAAACGGAAACTGTCCAAGGAAATAACGAAGCAAGCACATCGCGTCACGACACTCGACGAAGTTCAGTTACAAGTCGAGACAGAGTGACGGTTATGGAACCGGTACGGGCGGCGCGAAAGGCGACCCTTAAAGGCCGGCGGAAGCAGTCAGAACCACAGAAACTTGGGACCAAAGTTAGTCGAATGATGAGCACGATAAGACAAATCAAGCAGCTGCAACTCACTACCAATCTACTTATCCCGCGTCTTCCATTCACCCGAGTTGTGCGCGAGGTGACCCAAGAAATTACTGGTCCGACAGCGGGATTTAGGTATACAGCCGACGCTGTAGATGCGCTGCAGACTATAACCGAATACTATTTAACATCATTGTTCTGTGATGCAAATCGAGTAGCAGCACATGCGAACCGCGTAACGGTGATGCCTAAAGACCTTGAACTTTTACGGTTGTTAGGACTCGTGGAGCGCGACTGAAGATTTGAAGAACCTTAGGCGATTAAGATTAGGATATTTTTTTTTACAAGCGCTGTCAAAAAATACTGTTAGCTTCATTCATTACGAGGCGGTTAATTAATAAAAAGAAAAAATGCAACGCTTTCTACTACGTCAGGGACTGGGAACCGTTGTGAACACCTGAGTAGAACAGTTTCCAAGATCTGATTGATGCTTGCAACGTGCACACGTACTACACCTTAATTGTATTTACCCGTTTTTTGGGAGTAATGCAAACTATGTTTATTATAATAAATTTATTGATCATAATTTGCTGATAAATCCTCGATGAAACACGTTCCTGTACATAGAGAGAGGTACGTATGTGTACATCTGTAAATGTATTTGTTGTGTTTTGCAGACAGTATATGAATGTATTGCTTCGAAGATAAAAAGTATGAATATGTACAGTGAAAATTTTACCGTTGCTTTAAAATTGACTATTTATAGAAGAAGAAGAAGAGACACTCATAATTTGCCAATATTTCAGTAGTAAAATCATATCACACCGGTATTCTATTTGGTACTAATGTGCTGTGGTGCTTTTTTTACGTGCCTCGAAATGACTGCGGGAACAGCGGCAACGGAATATCACAGTCAACAAAATTAAGTGTAGAGGTTTTGCTAGACTCCTGTGTAACCCTAAAACTGTCAGGTAGGCCAACGTTTGTGTCGTGTTGACAATCAAGAAATGTTCAGAGTTCGTCGTTCTTCGATTCGCCTTAAACGAGTGATAGCGAGTTGTACTTAGTCAGTATTGAAATTATACCAATTCAACCAAAATAATAATATTTGTACAAAATAAAGGGGTTAAACTGTTCAAATGTTTAGGCAAAAAAGAATCAAGAATAGGAAAGCTTTTTTGTACAAATAAAAATACCACCAAACACGTCCCAAGTTGTCATTTCGTTGTTTGAGTGTACACTGCTGATGAATACCAGGCGATGCGACCGTGCTAAATTTTGCGTTGGATTTTTTAAATTAAATCTAACTGCCAGCAGCCTTTACCTCGTGCTGTGAACAGATAATTTAACCTTATTTAATATTTAGCGCCATACATCCCACCTGACAAAGCTCGCGACTTAATAGGCTGTTAGCATGCACATATTTTTTCACGATACGAACGGCGTTAAGCAGTATGACAATCACGGCTCTATGGCGGTTTCTAAATGGAAGTAAAAATTTAAGATTGTTTTTTTTATTATTGTGGTTAAAATTTCCGGCAGAACACAATCGGCAAATTAGATATGCTTATTAGATACAGGTTATATATCTTAAAGCGCTGATTTAGATAAAATACGCGAAGCACATTTCAGTTTGTTAGCACAGGTGCTTTACCCTCTTCTGTAAGTAGGTTTGATATGAAAACAATTGTTAGCAAGTTTCTAACTTACAGTAACTGAATGAATAAAACTTTTACACTTTTCAAAATTTCATATCAAGCAATGTTAAACCTCTTCGATATTGTTATATGAGCAGATGCATCAAAGAAATCATCTGAGATTCTAATAATGCTTAAAAAACAACTCAATACAAGGTTACCAAAACTGTAATTAAAGATGAGTAAAATTATAATAATAAATAATATAAGATGAGTAATTGCTACATCACCTCCAAATTACACTCCTGTTGAAAGTGTCTAGTTTTGCCATGCCATCTTGCATCATAATAGGGGTTTTTCTGCAGAATCGAAGCAATAAGCTAAATGAGCTTATGAGGAATTCCTTAAAATGTTTTTTTTTTTAAATAGATTTTCAAATATGTAGAAGTTAGACATGCAGTGTCAATCTTGTATGAAGGATCTAAAATATTAGCGCACCGGATGAGTCGGATGACCGGTGAATAGATACTTCCAAAAGATTTAATATTCGACAGAATAAGCTTTTAGTGCGTCCAACTGTCGAAATTGTTCTACAAGACAGATACAAGCTTGGATGTTCAAATATTTGTCGCGAGTCGAATATGGTGTTTTCTGAAAAACGAGGTGAGGGTTGCTGAAAAAGAACGCGAATATTTGATTTCGCAATGATTTTTACCTTTAAAATTCGACTTCAGTCCCACCTCGAGATAGTAGAATAACCGCAACGAGCTAATTAGCCGCAGCTCATTTGTTAATGATGCTAGTTAGTCACCATAATGAGAAGTACTAGTTTTTCTGAACCAAATTTTGAGAGGTGGAGCATCTTGAACAGCAAAGCATTTATTTCGTATTTAGACCAGCGAAATAGTCAGCCAGCCTTCAATCTGTTCCAAAACTGTTTTTCAGAATAGACTTGATATGTGTCGTTTTACAAAAGTTAATGTATATAAAACAGAACGCTATCGACCGCTAATAGTCTATAAAAATTGGAAAAGATAAATTGCGTCAGAATGCAATTTTGTCTAGAAAATGATTACATGGGTATGTCAATCATACTTGAAGCATTGTATCTTCGTCTTTCTTAAGTACCGTTATTTTATTTTATTCTACGACCAGTTTGTTCTAACAATGCGCTGTCGGAAATAAACACAGTCATGTATTGCATGTTCAGACATATTCAAACACCTTATTCTGTTGTTCAACGTTAAATTCTATGCATCGGACAATTACTCAAGCCCCAACCTATTAAAGGTTTAAATATCTTAGCTCTTAAATTTCAACAGATTTGCTTGATGCTTCGGGTTCGCTCGGTTAATTAGTAAAACGACACGAAGAAAATCGAAACGATTATTCTTAATATACTACATAGTGGAAACTGCACGATGTTACCAACAAATTTTACACATATCTATATTCTCGAACGGCTTAAACATTGCTCCGTATTAACTAACGTTAGCTTTTATATATCAGTCGATAAAACGACCCATTTTGGTACTCCTCACACCTACTGCTTGTGATGAAGCTACGTTGTCTCGTAAAGCCGGTGTTGTGGTTAGCTACTATAGATGGATTTAGCATCATGCGTACATAGATAAAAGGACAGATAGATACTGGGATGCAATTCAATACTGTCGAAAAACAGGTCTGTTCTCGAAAGGTAGATTTTGTTCTCATTCGTTCGTATTTTGGATAAGCAAGACCATATTGCAACGATAACTTACACTTATACACGAACATATAGCTCTTGATATTGCAAGCAAGCTTGGTTTAATAAAGCTATATTACTTTATATTATATGTTTTATTTATTTCTAGAGGCTATCTTTGCGATGGACCTGATACGTTCAATCTTCAAGATTACTAAATTTAGTTCTTTTAATACGCATACGATAGACCATTGAATGCACTTGCAATGGAAGTTCTACTGTTATTTAAGCGTCATAAGTTTAGTGTCGTCGTCTATACAATGAATCGTTGACACTTTTTTGTCCTTCAAGGCTATTGTCATTGTTTTGTTTGGACGACAAAAGTTTACCTTGAATTTTGGTTTATGAGTAGGTGTATTATTTTCCAAAACGCCTCAATTTTGACATATCATAAAATAAAATTTTAAAAAAACCTTAAAAAAATTGTACAAATATATGACTGTAAATTGTAAGCTTTGAAAGAAGCTTTTAGTCGTTTTAATTAAATTTTTCTATTTTTTTTCTAAATCCTGTTCCTAGTTCTCTTTCTTTTCAACTAGTTTCGACTTGTAGCCCCGTATTCTTAGATTTTTTTAAATATGGTCTTTATTTCATGAATTTCCTGCACTGGCCCATTATGAAAATTGGTACATACTGCTCAGAGTTTGTTCAGAAATATTCTGCTCATACTGTTCAGAAAATATTCAAGTGAATATAGAGCACGCCTGGCGAAGTCATACGAAGAGTTTTTCAGCGTTTATAACACCGACAAATTGAGAAAAAGAATCAGAAAAGCCTCGATGACTTATTAATAAAAATAAAATAAATTATTAAGAAAAATAAAATATTATAATCGGTTCATTTTTCGCACGAGCTGTATAGACTAAAGGTATTAATATGAGGCGCGTGCATATAAAGTAATATCATTATGGATTATATGTAGCTCTAAAATATGACAAGAGCAAGAAATGAGTGGCTATTTGCTGGTCGGTGCAATGACCTGATTTGGCTACGTCAAACGACATGGGTATCTCATACAGCATTATAACATGCAATGCAATTGTAACGCTCAAGAACTTATCTGAAGATTTCATAGGCTAAGTTGATCTGCACATTTAGTTAAGATATTGGCCATTAAACTTTAAAAAGCGTAATTACAAACTACGCAACTTTTATGTCGCTTGACCACATTTCGTATTCTCGGAGAAAGTCATTAAATTTTTGTAATACTGTTCCATTCCATTATCCTCTGCGGTTCGAAATAAGAAGGTGAATTTATAAATTGCCTAGAAGGTCATCATACTAACTGTGTTCTCTGAGTTATCCAAAATTCTTTTGCTTGCCAAAGTCGTTTGCTTTGTTCCTTGTAGCCCATTGTCGTTTACTGAAGGCGATAACAATAATCGGCTGAACTTCTATATTACAATTTCTAAAGGCGTTTAATACTAATGACACTCAGAGTACAACATAGTACTCCCGGCAGGCTGGAACACCTCGTATTTCCCAGTTCTCTTCGTCGCAGGCCATCGCCAGTTAGATTGCCAAGATAAAATCCAAAACGTCTGAATCTATTCTGGAGTACAGCAATAAATATATGATTCTAATGTTATAAAAAGTATACCCGCCACTCTAACATGCTGTTAGATTGAAACATTTGCAGAGCGAAAATTTCCTGCCGGAAGTCTGTGAATAATTTTGTCGGAATTATTTCTTTAGATGCGGTTACATTTCGCGAGTTTGAGCCGATTGTCGGTTTAGGTGGTGATTGCTATACGCAGCCATCATGTGATCATTGTGGTCGCCGGTTCTCCCATAGTTTAAAAACTCCGATTTATGGATTAAGTAGTGCCTTTACCCAATTATCTGACACATGAACTTCAGCAGCAGAATATTTCTACGTACAATGACTTTGTAAACAAGCTGAGTTTCACATATGATACGCATATCGGTTCTTCTTATCCTATCCAAAAAGTTGGGAATGGCAGCATACATTTTGTTAGAAATGTATTTATATATATATATAAATTTATATACAAGCAACAAGCGACAATGCAAATTTGGTGGCATCAGTTTTACTATTAGCCCAGTTTTCCAAGCATTTTAAATATGTTTCAGCTCGTTCTCTTCTGCAGCTTACTGAGCTCCTAGCTCTGAACACATCTGTATACGAAGGTATGAATGCCACCTGAATTTACCGTAAAATATAAGGATGTACTTGCAAATAACGAAGCAATGTCTGGACGTCAATCTTTATTAAGGTGCCTGGCCTGCATACCAGTACAGTATCTGCTCCAAAATACGACGAATATCAAAAAGGAAAGGAAGTTAGGAGCGGTAATTGTGAACCCAGGCCTGTCGAAGATATGGCGTCTCCATTGAAAAAGTAAGGCTTTAGGCTAATGCGATCCCACTTTACAACAAAGCGAATTGTAGGTTCGGATGCTGAATTGGTGCAACTTGATGGGCAATGTTTTTGTGAATATACAAAGCGCAGAGCTCTTCTGAAACGCAAACGGTGAAATTTCCAATCGGTTACGTATATAGAAGACTACACTAAAATACTTCATTTTCTAACAACAACAACTCAACTTTGGGTTCTTTTTAATACTGTATCAGTTTGTAGAAGTGTAGGTTATAATTTCCGGTATGTACCAACGCAATTCACAAATGTTATACGCCTAAAAATCATACACCCATCTGACTTATGGCGGGTAATATTGACCCTATTGTTAGATTTTCTATTGTCTTTTTTTAATTTTAGTACCGCAGATTAGCCTACGATGTTCAGCATACAATCCTGTTGTTCGCATGTTCTTCAGTATGTAACTTTTGATTTCCCCAAGCTGTAAAACAAGTCCAAAAAAACTATACAGGAACCGATGCGAACTACAACCATAAATTCTATCGTGCACTTCTTACGCATTACAATTAACTTACCTGGTTACATATTACGATCAGTAGGCTTTAACACGAAATCTAAATATATCATTAAATAACCATAAATTCAACCGATTAACAGGCTATTCACATATTACTTATGCGTAAATTTATTAAACAAAACGTCACCCTTTAATTTTCTTTACATTGTAGAGCTAACATTGGTTGTTACTAAAACGTCCTTGTAAAATATACGATATCACCACTCTGAACATTCTAAATAACTAATTTCTCGTTGCTCATTCTTAGCTACGTTTTCCAATTTGGGGAGCTCTATTTGGGCCTGTTGCGGGTTTTGACGGTTTGGCCCCAGGGCCGGACCGAGTGAAGCCAGTACTGGGTACGTCCCTTGTACCGGTAGACCCAAATGGCCTCCGATTGCTTGTTGCTCCAGGCAGAGCTGAAGTCTTTGATGGTAACACCTGTTAAAATTAATAAAAATACCTTTTAACCTTAGAAAATTATTTGTGCGAAAAACTGCATGGAACAATGTACGCTAAATCTTAGGAATTGTCCGAATAAGACATCATAAGTTGACAACCTACCCTGCGGTTATACAAACCCATAAATTAATGAAACAGTGATTTCAATAGTCTATTTTTATACTTCATGACTGATATTGAACAGATTCATTAGCTTTAGTGTGCCATTGTAAAGTTTTAGCAAGCAGAAGCTTCTTCAAAGACATTTTATTATGCTGGGATTTCTCCCAAGTCGAATGGTTAATCGGACAATGATTTAACAAGTCCACACTTATTATACTGTTACTGTTTGTACCAACAAGCAATGCTAGTAATCTTAACGTTTATGAATGTTTGGAACTTCTCTATGACTGGCTGGTGGCTTGTGTTTGGTAATTAAATAAGCTTTCGATCCACGCACCCAAAGCGAATTCAATGCACCAACCTCTCCTCAACGTCGATTTTTTAAATCAAACTGCAAAATTCGCCCAAACGTCGACCAAAGATCGATTCCAATCTAATCGAGTTACGCACATATAGGACTCAATAACATCTCATAATTGCACGGATAACTCTTCTTTTGACTAAATCTCTTTTTACTTGGGAACCTAATTACGATTTACAGATAGTGTCTATCAGAAACCTTAAGCTGAACAGCTTCAAAGAACCAACCGGTTTGACGAAGCCAATACGACTAGTAGTCGAGCCAGTTGCAGGGTTTCTCGTAGGCGGGCGATCTTGTCCGATTGCAGCAACAGGTCCGGCTGTGGCAAGCCTGCTTCGAGCTGGTCCCCCAATTCGGGGTTGCGCTATCCGCGGTACCGCACTTTTAACTCCAACAGTTTGAGCGCTACGTGTGTCGCTTTTTTGTAAATTACGATCTTTAACGATGGTCGCTTTGGCCTTTCTAACCACTGTAGTGATGTCGGCCGGCTTATTCGTTAAGGAATCTCTAGAGGAATCAGCTTTGACAACAGTTCGATTAACAGCTTCCTCAGGTCCATCACCAACGTCATCCATAGCAAGCCGTCTATGGCGTTCGATTTGATGAGGATTTAGGTTTTCTTTCTCTACGCCGTCTTCTGACGTTCCTGTAATAAACGTTACAGATGAAAAAGGAAATGAGAGATAAGGCTGGACTAAATTCATTTTTTTGAGAAGAAAAAATCGGTTTTAGGCATATAAACCAAAATACGAATTCAAGTGAACGATAGACAGAAAATATTTTATGGCTAATAACGAGAAATGTGTGTGAAGGGCGTTTCAGATCGACAGTTACCGAAGTAGCTTCATTAGAGCTCCATCTGTCAGAATGTTCCAATTTTACACGATTTGTGCATCAAATAGATGCTACAATATCTCCCTTTATATTAGATATATCGTAAAATTCTCGGCAAAAGAAAAGTTGCCTATGAGGTTAGACCCGGGGATCGATATTTGGTAAATTAATATAAACCAATACACTAGTAACTTAGTAAATGAATTTAGTATTTTCAATCAAAGACCCGATATCTATGTATATAGCATTTAAATTACAACCATATACATACATTTGAATCATGTGATAATAATTCCATTAGGGTATTCGGTAATTATCCCATGTATAACCCTATACCACTTTTTCATTGAACTAACAGGCACCCTTTATATCTTTAAGGTGTCTATAATTAGGGCTAACTGCTACATGTCGACAACAATTTGGTTTATAAAATTAGTTCTTTTGCGTAGTGAAATCAGTGATCCTTAGAGAAATGTTCAGTGAATTTATTGTCGTGACTTAGATTCACCCACATTTTGCTGCGCTATGATTTCTGTTTGCCGTTCCTTTTTCCAGCAGTATAAGCATTCCATAAGCTTTTACTTCTTGTAGAAATAGTGTGCTACCTTTGAGCGCACTGCCACATCCTAATCTACCGTCAAGATTTCCTGCCCATGAGCGACCCTTTAGGATGAATAATTCTATGATTTTCTACCTAAATCCGCGTATCGTTGATATATCTGTTGACCCATCGGTACTCTGGCGCTACACTTTGCATGCAAATCACTTCCTGTGCTTTTCGCTTTGCTAGGCCCTTATCTCTTATAGTTTATTCTGGTACACTTCCGGGACCCACTTCAAAGCTACGGGCTGCTTTATAAGATGTAAGAACATAATTCGTATGCTTGAACAGTTTTAACGTACGCTTCTGAACTCAATAATCAAGTAGAAGTCGATCCTGTTTGTGAATCGCATATGATAGTAACTAGCCTAGAAATCAATTGACCGATTTCAAAACTGTCGAGCTATATTAGTTGCTTGTAGTATATAAGTAGTTTCAGGCGTCATTTAAGAACTTCCATCTTTTTCGCTGACAAGTCATCCGTGAAGCAAACTGACTTTTTGTCCTCAGCGAATTTATTGAGACTACACATAGAAAAAAAATATGAGGATCGTTCTGTTTTGCTCTTTTGCTGAATGACCTCACTCTTTCAGCGTTAAAATACTGACACATGTAATTTTTTTGGCATGCAACGCCATTTATCAAATCTAAAGGACTGCCCTAGGCCCACAAGCAGACGCGGCCTTGGTCAAAACCTGTGTGCTTTGTGAAACTACTAATGACGCCCACGTAGCACTATCGCAAATCTTTCACTGACATCCGAGTATCTGCATAAATACTTGCTTTGGTCCAATGCTGAACTTACTGCGTTCTATGAGCGGCATGCCTTTAAGAATTTCATGTACTAAGAAAAACCGCAGACCCTAGTATCTTATTCGCCTTTTCTAGAAAACCTGCTTTTCCTTCCTATGGTAGTGATTAAAGCTGTTTGTTGGAGGACTCGATCTAGGTTTACTATACTTAAAATGTCTTCTGCATTTATTGCAAAGGGTCGTATCCACAGTATGAGGCATTTAATAATTTTCGATATTTAATTATTTGCCGGTAAATATATTAATAATCTTCCTCGTGCCAGTGCATTGTTCACACACTCTCTCTAGCATCTCCTCTAATATTTCCGTTCTCGTCCTCATCAACTATATGTGGTACGAAGCAAGATGCCTGTTTTTGATTACCGTTTTTGACCCATTCGCACACATCGATAATAAATATATCTTAATATATTGAAAATGTAGATGTATAGCAATGGTTGATGGCAATAATGCTGGATTATCCTACTATCCTAGTTCTTTTCAATCCAAGAGTCACATAATAGGCAATCCGAGCTTTCTTCAGCATATGCGGAATCGTTTTATGGTCTTCAGTAGGTTGGCTAGCGAAAATGAGCTGCAGAAGCACCCAGAATGAGGTGCATGAATACTCTTTCTGCAAAACCTTAAATTATCAATTGATGAGATTAAAATGCACAAGAGACTACATATATAAACTCGATGACGAAGGTACCTATCTGAAAAGTGCGGTCCTTGTTTAACATGATGATCTTTTCGTCCTCAAAATGAACACACGAGGATCTTCTTCGAGAAATTGCAGTTTCAACGGTATTCTCATTGAATAGCCTCTCACGCACCCGTTGACCCACATGCGGAGTCGACGTTACCCTAAAGTAGCGAAAAAAAATCCACTTGATGTCTGATTACGTCGCGTTTTATCTTTATCAATGGCAGCAGACATAAACAAGAATACTAATAATTTTTAGAATACTAATAATTTTTTACTAACAATTTAATTTTACTAAGATATTAGGCATACACATATCCTTATATATACTAGTAACCTTGATACCATTACACAATACAGAGATGCCGACCTGAAAACATCAAGAGCATCTTAAGAAGGCCAACTCACACATTGTTTAGAGCCAAATCATCCAACGGTTGCGCAATCTGTAAGGCCAAACATAATATTTGCGGCGATTATGTGGGTATACACTTAAAGGTTCAATACTTCAATACGCAAACCATGTATTAAGCATACAATATAGTCTATCGTCATCGTATGCAAATCTGAAGAATCGTATCGTCGGTGTAGCATCATGATGAAGAGTAAGAGCGTTGCTATTCTCACTAATATGCTTTAATATTTACGTATCTGGATCAATGTCTGCGTTTCTAGCTACACATAGTCAACTTACCGCCGCAAGGTCTTGTGTATTTATAATGGCCTCGTTGTTTACTCGGCAGTTCGAGCAGGTCATGTGAATCTCAATCTGCGACTGTGATGTATCGGCAACAAATGAGGGTCGACGTCGAAGACCAGGAGAACCTGTTGTTGATTTTCGGTTGTCACCAATGGTATTACAACCCTTTCGGCTGAGGTCGTCTTTGGAGAGTGAGCGACGAATCCGGGCTGACGATCGCAGCGCGCACGTCTAGACATGTTGGATGTTTGTCGACAAAAACAAGTTTACATAAATAGGTATGAATACAGAAAAATAAAATTGTTTTCGGAACGACTATTCGATACAGTGGCACCTCTAGTTACTGACTGCCTACAAAAGCTACTGCTTGCGAAGTGCTCCGTTCAAACTACGGCTTTGGCTTAAGCAAGAAGCCAGATCAAGTAATTCGACATTTACGGAGAGACGGCGTTTTCAAAGTATCATAGTTCAATATGAACAATGATAAACGGGGAAAAGTAGGTGATAAATATAAATTGTATTAGCTATTTCTTACGCAGTTCTACAGAAAGGTATGTTTCCTTGCGCCGTATACAAGAATTACTTACCGCTGAGCTGTCCTGACGTGGATTTCCAGTAGTTTCACTCTTTCGAGACTGAGTTGATTTAGCATCCACTGCAGCCTCTTCCTGCTGTTTGGAAATGACATATTGTTCATATCGTCTTTCTGCTTCCCGGAGTCTCGCGGTAGCCTGTGCAGCGGCGCGCTCATGTCTCGCACGCTCTGCACGTACTGCCTCTGCTTCCAATTCAAGCCACTCATGAAGATCACGGTCATCGTCCCATGGTGGAATCTGTTGCATGCATAATGAATTATTTTCATATATATGCCATAAATGATGACGATGATTGCACCTGACATTCATGTTCGGAAAAGATTCACCCTCCAGTAGTGGCACAGAGATTAGATATTATCACATGCGGCTAGAACGATTATCTTTGGATGATTTCCCACCTTCAGTTACGTTTGTATGATAATTACTGTAAAGACCTATTTTTTATAATATCTACCAGAAACCATGGTTCCTGGAGATGGGCGTGAATTTGGGTCAAAATAATTGATTTAAGTTAAGTAATTCCGGGTCAATGAAGGCGTATAAATACCTCGTTGGCGATGGGTTTTGCTAATTGAATCTGGGCTGCCAAGTAGTTAATATTCTCGTCCTTTGCGAGGGTTCGGGCGAGATCCAAACGTTTCTCAAGTGGTATTTCTTTCCAAAACGGTTTAACCGAAGCGGCCAACAGGAGTTTCCGGGCCTAGGCAAACAAGAATAAATTTTTAAGTTAAACGCCAATATCATTCTTGCAAAAATTGCGAAAAATATTCTGCGTTGCAGCCATAAAGATGAAAGCCGATGTTTTAACAGATATAAATTACGAGAGTTCGAATTTTGAACACTGCAGTGAAGTTGCACCTATTAAAATCAAATCTTAAGCTATGAATAAAAGCACTATTAAAAATTATCGACAAGAGTTTTCATGTCGTTACTTTATCTTTTGTATGCGACTTTACTAAGCATGAGGAACAATTATCAGTGACGACGTAGAACTAAATCCGTTGAAATTAAAACATCCTCTAAACAGTTTCCTTAAAATTTTTATGTTATCATCAGCTACACACATGAGGTAGGATACAGGAAAAAAACTATCGTGTATTATTATGAGCCTCAATTAACAAATAAAATATTATGAATATTATTATATATTCATTTATATATAGATACCTGAACATATCTTTGGTTTCAAACAGCTTTTGATATTTTAGCGAGTACGTAAACAATCTAGGTGGCTTTTGTCATACACATAAATAGTGTGATTTCTTTGTATTGTGGCTTAAACTAGTTACAGTTTCAATAATATGTTGCAAATCGTAAACGTTATTACTTAAAACCGTTTTCCACGCATTTTTGGCAACGATTACACCGTTTTATGTACGACAAGAATATGGCCAGATATTCAACGAACTAACAAACTATTCGAGGTCCAGAACTTAAATGAAACCGTATGTTTCAATTATCTTAGTTAAATATGCGTCAGTGATTTCACATTTTTCTTCATATATATATGTATAAATATATATTCATATTATTCACTACCGGTTGACCGCTGGCCAAATAACACAGCAGAGAATATGACGAAGTTACAACTAAAAATAATTTATGACGAAGTTCTGGCTATAATTTCGACCTCATCGTGTACGCCAACTGACACACAGACAGACAATAAATAAGCGAAAGAAAAAATAAAATGTAAAATTATACAATAAATAAATTTCATATTGGAATTGATTCTGCTTGGATATAACAGCTATTTAATCAGCTGCTAAGCAACGTTAAAGCTTGGCACGATTTATTTTCCAGCGAAGGGCTAGATTAACCTACTCTAGTCGTAATTTTTGTAATTGTCAGTTGACTACACATCACTCTGTCGTCTGACGACTCGGGTTGATTTCAACGTACCAGTGGCAAAGCGGTAACGGTCTTTTGAATGACTAATTATTGTATTTACGTTGTTTGGTGAGATAAGCATCTACGTACCTTATTCAGTTCCTGCGCAAGCCTGGCTTTAGTGTCCTGCTCAGACATGACTTCTGAGCTATTGTCGACAGAGGTAAAGGGAGCAGCAAACACAGTAAACGATTGAAACACGAAAGTTTTTCTCCAAACGGATTCGTTCGACTCCACGGTTAGAACTGGTGGTCTACTCATGCACTTTGACCGCCGATCCAGAGTTCTTAGCAGACGACTGTGCCAAAAATGAATGCATTATTCTATCGCTCGTCACTCAACGAGGCTGCTGCGCACGCGCAAGCAAGGCTACGTGCCATAGTGCGGCCGTGTTTTGAATTACTGCGTACAGTATTTCGGTTTATTTTATAATCAACTTTACTATCCGACTATGCATTTACATAACAAGAAAGGAAAACAATGGAACGCTGCCTTTGAAACTGTCTAGTTTAGCTAATGATCTCAAATTAAGTTGGGCAATTTTTTAAACGTCGCGTAACTTATGAGTAGTCTAAAATGAGTTAAAAAGTCATCGGATAGGAAATGTATAAAATATTGTCAATGAATAATTGTATAGATTGAATAAAATATTACATTTTGTTTGACTTGTATTTTTGAGCCGACTCTAATAGCGACACTCTTCCTCCGAACGAAACAAAAAAAAATCTCATTAAGTTTAGTTCGTCTACTAATCCAATGAACATAAGGGACACGATATAGTTTTACTCATTCTTAAAGTCATAGGTATAGCGAAATGGTGAATAGCAACTTTATTATAGTATTAGCAGCCTGGTCGGGTGCAATTTTGTTACCGTGTAGTAATAAAACAACGTTTCATTAATGGCAATTCTATTTGTCCTTTTACTTACTTAGCTATCTTATGTTGCCGTGATAATTTTAAGTTTTCCTTTTAAGTTGATAGCTTTTTGGTTCATGCACACCAGGGCTTGAACTTGTTCTTTAGTGTGAGGTAGGGTCGTTGTCACACAAATAAACTAGTATCACTAAGCAAATGATTTAAGATACTCATTGAGATTTTTCTATCAGTTAAGCTTGTTAGACCATTTACAGTTCTGTTTTATTGCGTACGCGCAAACAGTGTTGAACGTTCTTCTACGAAGCTATTCTGTTTAGGATCGTACATAGCTTGAGCGAAGACAATGTGTGACGCTCAATCTTCGTTTCAATTTCGATCTGGCTAGCCACCACGGATGGCGTTGAGCAATTTTAGCGCTTATTTGAAACATGGAGTAGAGATCTTGGCACCCTGTCGTATTGTTTAGCAAACAAAAAAGGTATTCGGTGACTCTCCATTGCTGTCGCCTTTATAAGGCACGACCCGAACAAGTAGATCGAGGTACAAGATGTTGAGTGTTTGAACGTTTGTGGACTTACTCGCTTTAATTTTATAGTACTCCTTGTTGGTGAATGTGCGGCAACTGAATAATGAGAGAAAGAACAGATAATGACCATATAATCCAAAATTAATCACGGCTATTGAAACCTTTCTTTCATGCCCTATACTGCGCTCTGATAACAGGGAGTAGTTTGCCGAAGAGTTAACATTCTAATATTTGAATTATCTATACCGATCTTATGCACCAAAGTTCGATGGAGATTCTGTGTTACATAAGCTTACCGCTGCCAACTGCTTCATCGAAGTAACGAGCTCCTGTAGGTGGATCTGATACAAAGCTGTCCAGCGCCTTAGATTTAGATTGGTTTTTAGAGGTTCTAATAGAATTGACAATATGCAGTTGTCCAGACTCAATATTTCATCATCGTTCAAAGCTTCGTTTGTTTACAAATATTTTTATTTATTGATCTTCCGACACCAGCACTCGATCATAATACAAGGTAACTTCACCGTGTGAATACGCTCAGCCTTTGAACTAACTAGTTGAACTTACCTGTTAACAGCGAATTGGCTTGCGTTCATGTGCTTTGCGGTGTAGTTTAAGGTAGCTGCATTTAAGTGTATAATAATATTTTTATTTTTTTCCCATGCATTTTGTATTCAAATCCGCTACAGTCTGTGGACGGACAGCGTGCCAACGGTGTCCGTCCACAGATTGTTGATTGTGCTCAGTTTTCGAATCGTTTGTATCGCCAATGAGGCTTTGCACACCATCCAAGTGAAGTGAGAGGCTTAATGGGGCTCCCTACAGGTACAGATGCCCATTAAGACAGGTACGACTTAAAATATCACTTAAACTATCACAAGTAGTGACATTTTTTTTTCGTTGGAACTGAATATATAACCTACTTTCGTCTGTAACACTAGTGCGATAGGGATAATTGATAAAATAAAATTCTAACACTAACAACATCAGCTAAAACAACCGTGGCAAATGACAGGCAAAAGAACTATTTCATCTGATATTAGAACAATCTCTAAGAAGCCTTATATTTTCCGAGGTTTTAGAAAACAATAGAACAATTTCAGTCACCAATATATTCATTACAAATGTATATAAGTTTTGTGAGTAGGTCTAGCTTAGTATAATGGCCCTGCCGTAGAAAACGTAAATATGAAAATGGTTACCGATTTGTCAGAAGCAGTTTTTAATGTGATCGATCAGTCGTATGAGGACAAACGCGGGTTTCAGAGATCTGAGGTGCACATCGACGAAAACAATTACAAATACGCCAATACCGAACATCTAATGCGCAAGACATGGCACTTCCTGGCAAGCTAGGCCATCATGGGTGAGATAATATATATGTACTCAGCTGAATTGCCTAACAGCAGTTCGATAAGTTCATAAAAGAGTTTGTTGAAGGGCCAGCAGTCAGCAATAGATACTCAAGTATCTTCACCAAAAGGAAGATAAATATGAAGTATGGTACAAACTAGGTAAGATACCACAAATGCAAGAACGCTCAATAATCAGTGTTTTACACCTGTGGAGCGGCGTGTCGTTGTCCGGCTCCCTGCTTCTTTACCGCTGTTTGCAACGAAGAAGTTCTAGGTTCTTAATAAGTGGAAGCCCAGTGAGATTATCGAATCAAACCCTAGATAGTTTTGGTAACGTGACATTTTAAGAAATCTCCACAACAAAGTTACGTGAAGAATCATATCTCTTTTTTTAAGTATAGCTTGTACCTATCCTGTAAGTCACGATTGCTTCTTGATTAGTTGAAAGGCAGCTGTAATAGGCATGCATGGTTATTCGAAAACAATTGTGAAAGTTAAAATAGAGCCTTATTTCTTTTAAATATTCTTTGCAAAACAATTTGCCGTCTCTGTGCATTTGAATAGGTAAGCCATTTCCTTGAAAAATGTTTAAATCGCAAATCAAAATTACACCATATCTATAAACGCATACATAGACATTGAAGATAGATATTGCCAATTTTATATGTACTTACTTCCCTATCCTTTGCTAATAAGGATGCTTTATTGATACTAAGCATTACGGGTTTCAGGACACTCACCGTATTTTTGCGGACCGTAACGATTAGAAGTGGGTAGTCTCAGGTACATCGGTAGTTAAAAAACAACATAAGCCAGGGGAGAAAATTTAATCATGCAATAAGTCATGTTTTTTTTCCAGATTACACATGAGGACAGTACAAATAAAACTTTCATTTTTGTTCTATCTTTCACTAATTTTGCTCTAAGTCGACAATTTTTTATTAGCCTACTGGAGAACACACGTTGTTAGTCTGTTAAGGCCTTTTTCTCGTTTACTTCTGGTTTACGTGTAATATTCTGTTTGTAGTAGTGCGTTGCTCATATGTTAGTAGCATAACCTCGTTCAAATACACAAACAACTCAACCTCTTAGCGGATATATGAAAAAACGAAAAACAGTCTCCTCTTCTATTAGTTTGTTTCATTCCATATGGCGACCTTTTAGGTAGTAAAGCAGGACTCGCTCTTTGTTAGTTACATGGTAACAAATGCACCGGGGCCATTCTGTCTCATAAGCGCAGACATGTACGCTTCTGCAGTTTAATTGGAAAACGGTCTCTGCATCTGAACAAAAGTTGCAAACGTCCACGAGTGCGGAAATTAAATATCGGATTAGCCGTCGACCGGGTGGCCAAAAAGATGAAGGGCTGCATTGTACTTATCTCTCCTCCCATCCCTCCAAACCTCTCGGGGGCAGAGGTTATGCACTGTTATGCTGCGCGGTTATAGCTCTAAGGGCTCAATAAACGGGGTTAGATTCGAAAGGACAACTTCATTGCTCACTATTATACTGGGCGTTAGCTCACATTCTCGCACTCTACTCGCGTTTTGTTTCGCAGGGTCTCCCCGGTGTTCGTCGACTTCCGTCTAGCAGACCATTGGGCGAGATGCCGCAAGTAAGGTTTCTCTTTGGCAAGACAGGGAAACTACAGGACAAACTGGAGCAACGCGTTTCACCGAACTCGAGCCGGCCCGTATAGCCTCTTTTTGAGGTTGTTTCTTTGACAGCTGGCGGCTTCAGTTACCAAGCTTCCTGTTTCTTCCATGTCAGAACAGCTGGGGTCCCTTTCCAACAATTTTCAGCTCTTACCTCTTCGCAACACACACAGGCAGGCGCACACACATTCACAGCCCATTGGCGGGAACTTCCCGGCAAGAAAATCCGGGAGCCGCTCGGAATATAAGAGGCCCCTGAGTCGTGGCAGTTAGGCTGACTTCGAATTTGACCCCTGAAAGGAAAGCCACTGGCGTGGCACGAGCTGCTTCTACGAACGAGTGATATACTACTATTTGACCCATAGAAAAACGCTCCCGTCGCACGCGAAAACAATGACCGTTTTTGCGGTACCAATGGCGATCGTCGTAGTGGCTGCGGTGGTCGCACCGGCGCTGACAGTTGTTCCGGAGTCAACGAATCCTGCGAATGAGCTTGAGACGTTCCCGCGTCTCAAGGGAACGAACCAGGTGGAAAGAATGTTCATTGCAATATATTTTATAGCTTCGAAAACGAAGTATTAAACCTTTTACGTGTCCCTATAATGCTGTGAAATCCTTGACAAGAATATAGCGCAATGCCCGTTTGGTGCGACAAGGTGATACAAACTTCGTCCATGTTATTCGAAGGGAAATGAACCGAAATATCTCGTACCCAAAGAGTTACGTAGTAAGGGAATAAATTCGAAAGAAGCAAATAAGGCGCTCTGTCAAAACAGATGGTCGATACGTAGAAGTGATGTGACGGACTTCGTTATGAGTGTATGCGTATATATGTTTCATAATATCACTGACAATGATAGCAATCGTAATATTAAGTGTAGTAAAAAAAGAGAAGCTGAGTAGGCAAGGTGCAGGCCGTAAAGGTAACACAAAAAGTGTATGGTAAAATAGTGACTCAACTCTATGTGGACGTTACAGTTGATCATTTTTTACAATTTTATGTCCTTATTAAGACTCTGTCCGAAACGGATGCTTATCTGTGCTTTTAGGATATTGTGCCTATTTTTGGTTTAATTGCTAACGATATCGATCGTTCGATTTTAGGGTTTGCACGACTTCATACGAATGATAGCTTCAACAGGAGCCCAGAGCCAAGTTGTGGGCAGAGTGCCTCCGGGTAGTGACCCAACCAAAGTTGCAGCTGCACTTCAGACTCGACCTCCTATAGAAGAAGGCAAGGTCTGCCACATCGACGTACTCATGCCGCAAAAGGTATCCCGTACCAATCGATTGGGCAGATTATTGAAAAAGGTTTTCTAAACATATTAAGCGTTTGTAAGTACGCTGTTGATATCATTTATTCTATATTCAGATAATTGTCTTCGAAAACATAGCGAAGTTTAACAGAGTGATATCCTTAAATGTACTGGCTCCAACCATCTAAATCTCGGGACTGGCAATTTAGCGTAACTGATTTAATTGCTTGTTTATCATACAAAATGTATGACAAAACGAAAGCATTCATCTTGCTTTAGGTTAACTGTTTGAGAGCTAAATTCTAGTCCAAATTATAGATTCCAGTTAAAAGTTAAAGAAAGTTAAAAGTCCAAATTAAAGAATATACTATTAATTGCTATATGTTAAAATAAGGACAATTGGCATTTGGGGAATTCGGATCAGAGTGAAACGGTGAAAAGTGGAAATTGTATTGCAAGAGCTAGCTCAAATTTTTTAGCAGAATTTCCTTTTTTAGTCCTATACCGATATTCGCACAGTGCGATAGAAATTATGTGATATATTTCATTGCAGGTGTTGGGCCGGTGCATAGCTCTGGATGGCGCGCCTACATGTATGGCTAAAGACCGAATGGAGACAAACTATCGAGATTGCCTTGGACTAAGTAGTTAGGATCAATGTGATCTTTCTAGGCATTTCGGACACGGCGGCGTTTACCCTCTAGAATACTTTAGAACAGACAGAAATATATACAGAAGGTGGGAAACCCTGCTTAAGAAGATGACTCGCAGAAGCTCCAGATATTCTCGCTTTATCGTAGCATCGCCTAAATAGGCTAGACGCACATGTCCTTACGAAGCGGATAGCCATATTATACGAATGGTAATAGCGCTAATAAATGTTATTAATTCAGTTAATGGCATAATAATTTAGCGTTCTCTATTTTTAATAAATTTGCTTTAACATTGAATACATTCGACACATATATGGGTTAAAGTAAACTCAAATAGGACATACATACAATCCAGTGTACGGAAGCTATTGTAGCCTTGGGATCCGGCTTTTTCTTATGTGGTCCACCACCCACCTTGAAAACATACACGTATGTTAAATTTGATGAAAGTGAAGCTGTCGATTTCCATTTTGCCCACTGTTTGGATGACTTGTTACTTGGAGGGAAGGTTAAGGCCAAATGGTCAATTCGTCGCCACGCCGGTAGATATTGATTGGTATGACATTTAATGGTTTACATCCGCCAAAGCTGGCTCTTAAGCTTACAGATGGTATTGTCTTCGACGTGCCTTGTGCCACTTGCTCGCTTATGGCCTAACATCTCAGTTTGGAATATATGCATACCTATTTCAAGGGCAAACAAATTAAGCTCTTTGGAGTGCACAGCACGAGCTATCCAACAAACGAACGCATCGTACAATGATTGAGATGAATATAAGTCGTGCTTTGCTGCGATCGTCCAAGAAGTTTCTCCTCCAGTGTAAGATATCAAAAATAGCTACTTTACATGTGTATCGGCACCTTTCTTTGCGGTGCCATCAAAACTCAAAACGCCGATTCGGCGAGAAAATACAGAACGAGACAGCTTATTTGTTGAAGTTCGACGTTGACTATGGTGGCGCTTTCGGCATTGCTCTTCTATAAACAGACGAATAAACTGCGGCGGGCAAAAACAAAAAAAAAAACTGAATTGCGTTGTGACGCGAGCGGCAGCTCAGCATTACTCGTATCGTAGATCGTAACGGCGAAAATATCAAATCAGGTCTAATATCTAAGAAAAGATAATTTAATTTTACATATTGGAATAATTTATGACGTAAAATAGAACAGAGAAGAAACTGTACTGATTATAGAGCACAAAAATTGGCAAGCGGCTAGAACGCTTTCCTCAATTATCCAGTTTCGGGTGTCTCAGCTGATTCTCACGACATCCTTTAAATATACGTTGGTTGGTTTGTAAAAAAAATATACGAACTAAATTAAAGTCGAAACATTACTTCAAACATGTAACTTAGCTAACATTGACTGCACAGCTAAATATATGGCCGAATGGTAGGTAAATAGGGAAAAATAACGTTGGCATCAACGTGCAGACCAACTCGATCCGACTTTGCGACGGTCTGGGTGAGCTAGCTATAGCTTAACAGCCGTTTACCTAATAGTAAATTGAAAACAGATATTCTGAAAAAAAAGCTGTTGCAATATTTATTTATTGGCTGTTTGATAGCTCAATGGAACTAGATGGTAGGCTAAGTGAACTGTGGATCATTTCGTCGCGAAGACGATAATATAATATAACCCTTTCAAGGACGATTTGGAAGTTGGCCACAGACTTCGAGCCATCTAGCCGACTTGGTTCGATGGCTCGGAGTTTGTGTTCGCATCTTTTGAACATTAGCTAGTTACTGCGACGACAACCAGCTAGCGCTTGTCACCCATAAAGCTCAACCCTTTTGGCAGACAATTATAAACATTGACCAGTGGTCACTTTTTTTACCTCTGTTATACTCTAAACGGTATTAAGGATTATTTTTAACACAAACCATGTACGAGCAACATGGTCCTACATAGCAACACGCCATTGCTCTCGCATGTGTCTCCAGACACAGATTAACGATTTAACGTTACAGCATTAGATGTGTAAATTACTATTGACTTTTTCAAAAATAAACTAACAGAGGTTCACGATGTAGCCAAAATCTGAGGCTATATGTGATTGTCATTTAATCCAAAATTCATTCTTCAGATCTTTAAAGAGCAACTTCATGTCGAAAAAAATGTCTGCTTTTCAACCAGCTTTCCCGATCGTATTTGTTTACTATTTTTTATTTAATACCATGCATACGTATATCGTGTACTTAGTGCTGTATATATGGGCATTATTTACATAAATATTTTGTATGTGAGCAACTAGCATAGCAAGCGGCTCCGGGCACTCAGCTCGAGCAAGCTATTGAGCAGGGCGTTTTTCTCTATCCTCACAAGGGGGCGCCACCTGTATCAGTTTTGGAACGACACGTTCATCAGTATATCTCCACCGGGCGATAGTCACCTATTTTGATCTTTGTCTATTGAATACGGCGATTTTCAAAGAATTTTATAGACATTTATAATATCTTTGTTAGCTAGCCCAAGAGCTTTTTACGCTGTTTGCTCGCGGTAGTTGAAAGTTAGCAACATTCATAGTTATATTATAACGCTCCCTACATAAACCATTGGTTTTATGCAACAAATTGCAAGCATCTTTGTTTAAAAATAACTATCTACTTTTAGCAACTAGGCAATTAGCCAAAATGTTCGGCACAGAATTTCGGATCTGAAAGTGCATTCACATGAACCACACAAATTGGTTCAGTTTATTAAAATAATAAATATTTACAGGATCAACATAGGATCTTCTAAATTATAGAATATCTGTTAATCACCAAGGTTCCTCCTACACGAAGGTTCCTAAGGGGATTGATTAAAAAAAATCTATGACAATCAATTAAGGTTAAGTTATGTAAGTGAATTTTTAAACGATTCATTTTTTATGAGCCAGATCAGTATAATAAACGCTAATTACAAACAGTGAAATATTGCTACCAAAGCTTTCTTTCCTCTTTATCTATTAGCTCCTCCTAATTGTATGGTGTTTTAAATCGCTGCTTCAAGTCCCATGAACGTCACAAAGCTAGTACACAATCTGTGAAAATAAAGACAAAAAGCAAGATTGAATTGTGTTTACTTAGCATTTGGGCCAAATTGACTTAGGGCCACTTAAGCTTGTTTAAACTGTGTGTTTAAATTGTGATTCGGTCCCTTAGAAGTTGATTAACCTTCTTCAATACTAACTAGGACATTGCATTTTGACGATAGTTTACGAACGCATAGTGCTGCCGTAATTGTTGTTGGTACGGTTTGCATGTGTGCATTAACTTATTGCCCTAGTTGAACCAGAACCAGTTGCAAAGTCTTTCGAATAACTGCTGTGTCCATGTTGATTACGCTCGCTGAGCCGTCAATTGCCCGCCTCTCTTGGTTGGTACCCTTTATTCACTGTTTATCTGTTTACATAGGATATATCGAATGGATCGATAAGGCATCATATTATTCTCATAACTGTTTCTAATGGCTTATTGTTATATTACCTATCCAGACGACAGTGCTTTTCTACGGAAGCCTGATGTAGATCTATGACCATCACCAATACTACTTCTAGCAGGTACGCCGAATAGTATCGATTCCCATCTATTAAACGAACGCAACCTTCTGTGAAGCTAAACAGGCAGTATCCGTTCTGTAGATATAAATCAATGCGTAGGTATAATGTTTTTTGCTTCTTCAAGAACTCGAACTCGTCGAAAGTCTATGAAACTCTTCGGCCAATCTGACCTAAAAAAAAGCGCAACACAATTTCAATCAATGCCATTAATAATTTACGTACTGAAAGTATCAAACAGGATAGCTCGCCTTAAATATTACAGCTGGTGGACAAATCTAGCAACCTTGAAACAGTATTGATCGGAAATAATGTTAAGACCTCGCCATCGTCACTCAGCTAAGAACTGGGTTATTTTTATTGCGAATTATATAGTACTTAGCAAAAAACGGCGAGACCTTCACTAGAAACATTCAAACTTTATGAAGGCATGAGCGACGGTCTGTGCGTTCAACATCAAGACCATCAATGAAAATCTCGCCTATTGTACGTCGTTGTTATATTATTATAGTTGAATGATAATAACGATAAGATATGTATCATTATTAAGCGAGACAAGTCAATTATAAGGAGAATTAAGTAATATGGTATAAGATGGTATTTATCTAAAGATTTTCTTATTATAAAACGCTAGCCAATAAGTGTCTATAGCGTTTCTTCGCTATTCTTCAGTTGAAATAGCCAATCGCTTTATAGTTGTTGTAGTGTAGCTGTGTCACTGGAAACACATTTTATAGCGTAAGTTATCATTTTCACACTCAGCGTCTCACTACACTCCCAGACTCAATAAACAAAAGTTGTCTTTTTTCCTCTTTTTGTATTATTTGCCATCCTTTTTTTGTACTAAGCCTAACTATTAGGCTCTAGTGCACTAAGTAGTTTCGCCAGCCTTTGCAATCTAGCTGTCCTGTCAGATAAACTTAGTTGTGTAGCTATTGTCCTTCGGCACCAGAGTAGCTTTAAAGCGACGTAGTTGTTTAACATAGTCTGCCTGAACCACGTCCGTTGGCCCGTGCGACGGTTCATCATACTGGTTAGTTCCTACCGCAACTTCCTTTTTTCATCCTCTGTATCAATCTCATCGTCGGCGTCGTCGCAGGTACTATTTTGCGTCTGCCGCACGTACTTCTTCCTTTCTCCTAGTTGCCCCGCTGTCCTTCTGTTCGCTTTCGCTTCTTCAAACGAAGTGTCACGTCCGCCTCCTGCTCTTCGTCGCCATCGTTCTCGACCGATTCCAATTCCTCAACTTGCCCTCGAGACCGTGTCCATTTTCGTTCGGTATTGGACAGAGGTGCATACACACCTAGCTCACCTCAACACTCCGCTTCCTTCATTGCTCCTATCGGAAAAAATCAAGCACGCAGTGCTCACCAGGCATTACTCGCTGTGCTTGGTTTGGTCATATGATGTTCCTCGTCCACTCATTGTGGGCCCTCTCCATACATTGCGGCCTTTCCCTGTAGTCTCACCAACACCAACCTGTTCCTGTCCTATTTCCAAACTACATCCCTGCACTCTTCGGCGCTACTGCGATCCGCCAGTTTTGGATCCAAGTCCGCCCCACAGTTCAGCCCCACTTCGACATTTTCCCGTAGTTGCCTTTTCTGCCGCCGTTGAGCCCCTGCCCTTTTCCGTTTCGCGTTTCACTTCGTTGTAATCCCCTCCTAATAGCCTGTGCCCTTCCGGTACAGCCTATAGCCATATTCATGCCTCACGCCGGTGGGCCCCGGCGGAGCAGATCGGCTTCTTCCATTCGCTCAGGTCCCTCTAGCTCTTTGCAAGCGTCTTGCCTCCCCTCGTCTCGTTATATAGGCGCCTCTCCCTTCGATCCATAGCCCCGCGTCGAGCCGTGCTTCTGCTGCTGCCGCTGCCGCTGTCCCACTTCTTAATGCAAATATGGAGATATTTTTTAATTACAACTTTTTTTTTTCTCTGGGCTGCTACTTCTATCCTTCCTTCTTCGCCTTTGCCGCCATAGTCGGCCATTCATTTTGGCTGGAACAGCATGCAGTCTCTTGTCGTAATAGTACGGCGATTGCAGAGGTAACGATAGCAGCAGCTTCCCTTCCGTTGCAGGCGGCCGTTGCGATGCCTTCATTAGCGCGAAGGGCGAAAAACGGGACTATCACCACCACCACCACCACCACCGTTGCCAAACGCACGAACAGCAAAAGAGTGCTTCCTGGATAAGTAGTGTTCTCCGGGTACGGGAGACGAGGAGGAGAGCGATGAGGGAATCGCAGCAGAGACTTGCCAACCTCTAGGAGGGCGCCGCAAGTGGCTAGCTGCAGAAGGAATGGCTCAGCCATTTATGAAGACTAGCCATAGTTGTAGTCGTAGTCGTAGCTATTTGGAT